TATTTCTCACTGTCATTTGCCATGGCTATTCTCATCTCATCTCATCTCAGCTTAGCTTAGCTTAGTCATGACAGTAATGGAAATGGAGTTCCTTGCTAGCTAGCTAGGTATAACCATTAAACCGATAGTAAGGATCGTAGAAGAAGGTAAGACTAAGCAAGCTTTGATAACGTACGTACAGCGCTAAAAGGGTCTTTGGCTGACAAGTAGGATATATAGTTATGAATGGCATTAATTAATCTGAAGTTGAACTTTGCGAGGGATCAACGAGGATCCTCAAAGAAATGAGATTTTTAACATCAAAGTCAAATTTGTTGGTTTTCTTTCAATTATGATCATTATTGATAGCAACAATACTTGTAAGTTGGGACCTTTATTAATGTAATTAATTATATCAATTTTTGTCTTCCAAAATGATTTTTTTTCTTTTTACAAATAAATAAATCAATATATATATACATATTAAAGCAGCAGCTTTATATATGCTATATACGTACTAATTAACGTATCAAATCAAATAAATATAAATTGATTGTAAACTAGCTATAAATCTCATAAATAACAAATATTAATAGCAATGCTAAACAAATAATTATTATTCTGATTGATTCAAATATTGTTTCTTTATTATTAAAAAGAAAACAACAATAATAATAAATGTGGACGATCGATGAAGAAGAAGGGTTGTGAAAGGGATGTGACAATTTTCCTGGCTTTCTTTTTCGTGGTTTAGGAGGTGGGTCCCTTTAACATTTACTAGCATCATCACGACGTTAGTAAAAACAGAAGAAAGGAGAAGGGCCACGTGTACGGAGATTAATGCTCTTATGGAGCCACGTTTACTCTCTTTATTTCTCTATTTTGATTGTGTTAATGAGTAACAAAATCAGACCAACCAATTTTGATCGGATCAATGGATTTAACCTAATTAAACTTCTCCAATACAATTATAATTTATTTATTTTTTATATGGTACACAAGAGTAAAAGGACTATTTCTACGTATAAATTTTTTTATACGTAGAAAATTTTTTATTAATTTTTTTATATGTTGAAAAAAAAAGGGCCCAAAAGCAAAGAAAAGGAACAAAAGAGGAGTTGAATCTCTTAAAAGTATAGACTGCCCTTTTTATTAATTTTTTTGTGGCAATTTATAAAGGGGCAAATGGTCTGATATTATTGTCAATTTCCTCTTCTTATTGCGTTATATAATACGTTCTTATCAATGAGTTTTCAGTATTTAATTATCTTGGTTCAAAAAAATATCTAATATCATCACTCAAGAATTTCATGATTTTTTGAATTTTTTATTATTTTTTGTGAAAGAAATCCAATCAGGATGGATCATGTGAATCATACATGCACCACACGAAGAACACAAGTGGTCGCATCATAATTTCCAAGTCAAAATGTGAACTCAACTAGTTAAGTTTCCATTTCTTCCTACGCAAAACAAACCCAAAAACTACGTCATTCACATGTTTTGAATTGCCATTATTATTATTATTCGATTCGACATGGAGGAGACAATGAGGTAGCAACTTGGAACATCATCAGAAAGAAGGAAAGAAAAAGGAAGGAAATCTCCAAGAAATTTTGATTTAGGTTTGATCAGAAACACCGATCGATGAGTTTGTCAAAAAGGAGGTTCAGCAGATAGATGGGAATAGCTAGGCAGCTGGGAAACCGTCACCTCCCAGCATTTTAGCTGCATATGGAAATATGAAGCACCGTAAGACCAAAACATTCCATAAATAAACTAGCCAGCTGCGATTCACCACCAAGTTACTTAAGTGGGTTTTTTTTTTTTTTTTTTTTTGGCTTTCAAATAAATGCTGCTTTTGGTCACCATATGCATATGGTATGGTATACGACAGCGCATGGAAAAAGCAAATTAACAAGTAATACCAATTAATTGGTTATCAGTCACATGTATAGAGAGAAAGAAAATGAAGATTGCCAGAAACAGGACCCCACTATAATTTGCTTCTAAACACAGCACACTTCTAATTCTGATGCTTGTAATTAATTAGGGAAGGTTATCTTTTTTCTTTTTTTCTTTTTAACACAAACACTCAATCATCGTAAAAGAACTAGTTTGCTATGATTTAAAACTGATATCTTTTTTAAGAGACAAATACCATTAAGAAATTATATGTTTAGATACAAACTCTTTAATTCATAGAGAAGGTTATTGATTTCTACTTAAATTCGTAATTAAGGTCTGCGAAAGTTCCATGATCTTGTTATTTTATATGTTTAGATCATGTTCACTAAGGAATTACCAAGAGGAAAAAACACATGATTTTACCATTTAGATATCTTAATTTAACATTATAGAGAATTATTAGAGAGAGAAGTACAAAGTTTTAAGCTTTTCTATTAGTTTATATATATATATAATTGGAAACTAATTCACATTAATTTATGCATTAATTAACTCTTCTTCTAAAGTGAGTATTAGTTCGTGTTTAATCAGTAATACATTGATGGAAAGAGATCTTTATACGAAAGACAAGAATTGATGTTTTTTTTTCAATTAGGTGATGATATATATATATAAATTAAAAACATCAAATTATTAATGTATTTTTTTTTTTCAAATCGTATCATTATCAAATAGTGTGTTCAACTTGAGCAGTCCAATCCCAACTCAGACCCTCAGCTGGATTCTACATTAATTACCATTAACTTCCACCCCGTAATTGATGAATAAATATGTCAACAAGAGGAAACTTTATGCACAGAAGTGGTGATCTAATTACAATTAATGTTGAAAAATGGATGTGGATTGCAATACTATTATCATATGGTAGATCTCGCTAGTAGCTGCCTACCTACATCATCACAAGGACTAAATAAATTGAAGACAACCAAGAAAAAAAGTTCTGAGAATTCTTGCGTGTATATATATATATAAATTAGCAGATGTCGTTTTCAGTTGGAGTTTGCTTAACGTAACCATGCAGTTTTTTTCCTGGAAGAAACTTCAAATTCCATCCATGCCTACCTATGATTTCCCAGCTCGACAAAGACATGTAACTGTGCCCTTTACATTACAGAGCTCACACCTCAGACATCTCTCTCTCTCTCTCAGACACGAACAATTCCATTACAATGCAATTACCTTTTTTCTACTAAGAGAAACTCGGTTTCACATTCGTCGGATCTAGATTAACTAAATTTCAGACAGACAGATACATAGCCAACTCAGTTCAGATAACAATTAATTAAAATGAAATTTATTGAATATACTTATACATTTGTGGACTTGATCATGTTTTTAATCACTAAGACTCCAACTACTGATAAGTGATTTGCCAAATCTCATTAGCAGGAGCTATGAAGAAACGGATGACATGCCATGCAAATATTCAAACCTAACTTTGTTTGTTTGTTTTTTAACACCAGTTGGATTCTCTTTCGACCTTGGGCAGCTAAACTGTGGGCCAATTGCATTTGAGACAACAACACGATTATCAAGCAAAAAGTCAAGACCCATCAAGCTAATGCCAGCATGCACCTGGGAACTTCCGTCATCAAACACTACAAGCAGGAAAAGTTGCTTCCTAGTACTACTAGGTATGTGCAATTTAAGCCCAAGAAGAATGGGGGAAGATTATTGAGTGCACATGAAGAACGGCCATTTGTAGATTACCATTTCAGTGTTAGTTGTCAGACTCAGCAATTAAAGCTTAAAAGAGATTTGTATCAGAGCAGAGCGAATCAAATCCCTTTCTCCCCTTGGTTTACTCCATCCAATTCCAGCCCATTCAATTCCTTCTTTGGGATAAATCAAACTAATCCATCTCTATATACAATTCCCGAGCCAATCTACCTTGTAGTTTCATCTTTACAAAGAAACACCATTCACTGGTGTTCTTAGCAGTTATGTTGTATATGATACGCTATTTCATTTCCAATATAACTACAAAGAAAACCATTTCTTGGAATTATCAGCCAACCCCATTTACATGTAGACAAAGACTATCAAATGGACGAACACAACAGGTAGGCTGATGGGCATATGAATATCACTAAAACTTTGAATAGCCTATTGTTCTTCAGTGGAAATTTTAGGATGCGATTGCGGTTTAACACCTGCATTATCGATCATCCTAGATCCTGAATGTTGTTTATCAAGAGGTACCTATATCGTAAAGGCTTTCGTCCTTCTATGCATGTATCATTGAGAGGTGGAATTTCTCCCACGGCAACTTCAACCAGCTGCATTGGCAACAAGCTACATGATTTCTAAGGAAACAAAATAGAAAGGAAAGGAAGTCGCTCAACAAACTGACAATTGGAAACTACAACGCAAATTAATGTGATAGCAGGTGTCTCAAAACTATTTATTCCTTATAGGCAATTCAAAATATGTTTACCAAACGAGCAATACAATATCTAATTCGATGCCAAATGTTAAATGTGAAGCTGTTTGCTATTTGAAAGCTACATCTGATCTGGTACATGCTTGAGGTTATTTGGAGAGCGAACACCATGACTTTATTCAGATAACCAAGTAGAGAAGTCAAAGGAATCAGAAACTTCAGCAGCATTCACTACTGAGTACTAAGTAAGCATCCCTTCGGCGGAACTGAAACCAAAGAACGAACCAAGACTGCATATGAAACATACTCATTCAGATCATAATCTGTGTGAAAAAGCTTATCTATGTGATACTTTTAATGTCTTGAGAACCCAGGTCAGTGAATGAAGAAAAAAGGCATATTGATTTCTTAATCACTTCTAATCAATATCACAAACCTCTTTAACCATATAATGAAGAATCTCACAACAGCCAAATAAAAGAAAAGTATTCACCATTCCTAAAATTCCTACCAGGAAAGACATTTCCTGCGTCCTTTATGAGCAAAATGGAAGGGAACAAACTAAGGACACTGGCATTCAAATTGAGCTAGTCATTGCAACAAAAGACTCCCAATGACCGATACTAAGCATACCAAGCAGTATTCCTTGCTGATTCAAATAAATGCAGGATCAAAAGGGCTTCTCGTACTCCTGAGGGGTTGGCTGCTCCCAGGCAGGTATGAAGCCTACAAGAAAATATCAAGAGAATTATTTGAATAGAAACGAAGGAGTGTCAGATAAGATGCTGCAAATTATTAACTGATAACTTGATAGCTATTTATTTGGTCAGAACATCAGTAGGATGCAAGTCAAAACAAATGTGTTGTCCTGCTTGATGATAAAGATGAAAGAGAACCAACTACCCATATAGCTTAGTGAATATGATTTAACATGCCAGTAATATTACTAGATTTCTTAGTTGAGCAAACAGTTCAGCCAGGCCTCTGAAATCTAGATCCCCCTAGCTAAGGAGAGTGAATAAAAATGAACTCGTACAACCAGCCATGAAAGGGCTCATTTCATATAGACCTTAGTTAGTTAGTTATACGACATTTACAGGACATCAATGTTGGAAACTTGCTTTTGAAACTCAAGTGCAGTCCTATTATGTTTTATGTAACTAGCAGATATAAATATCCTTGCTCCCGCTCAGTAACACTTCCTTCTACTTGTAGGCCAAATTTGTTAGATCTTTAACGCAGCCTTTTAATTGTACTTTGAAATCTCATTGCATTGGTTTCAACAGACACTAATATCACTAAATTTGTTGTTTCATGAGACACCTATTAAGGTAGTGCCATTTTAAGTTCTATGATGAAGACAGTGACGCAACTCCATGACATGGGAAATTTGGTGGAGACATGAATAATCATAAACAAAAAGTTCCCGTGTAAAAGATGATTCTGATCTAAGAGTAGACCAATCAAAAAATGTGTTCTCTGAGTGAATGTGGTTATGATAAGAACTAAAGGTTTGGAGGAAAACATAGTTTATAGGCTATCGAGCACCACAGACTATTCGACTACACTTAAATTTATCAATAATCTAATTTTCATTTCAAACACATTTGAAGCAAAACAAGTTAATGCAGGGTCATGATTTACCATTCCCCTATCTTTTATTAAATCTATACATTTGTTAAGAGTGCACAACAGGTTTTTAGTAAAAAACTTCCGCTTTCATTTGAATGTCAAGAAGAAGCAGAGAGGTCAGAACGTTATTAAAGATGCCAGGAGAATAAATTTCTTTATAATTTTTTACTTTTCCAATTTATGTGCTTTTGAGATCCAAATGGAGCCATTTTTTATAAAAATAAATTACTGATCTATAGATCTATGCACATCTTTTTGTCAAAAAACAAGTTTCACAATAATTTGAACAACCATCACCATATATACCTCAATGGTTAATTGTGGTAAAATGAGTTTGTACCGCCATTAGCATGTGATTGAACACCAGATTTAGGCAGATCAACTACATAAACTCTAGATTTATAAGAAATCAAACCAAGAAGTTAAATATGTGGCATACTTAATGGTATTTCTCCCAGGGACATATAAATCGAGTCATCATCACCAAGAGTCCCCTGAAACAATCAGTAATACTAAGTGAGTTATTCATCAACTATATCATGGGAAATGTATTTATTTAACTATCTTCCACTAAAACCAAGTGGAACATAAATGCCATGAGATCATATGCATAGAATTATACATTTAACGAAGTAATTGATTGGGTACGAATGGAATGCATACAGAATCAAGTAGCCAAATGCATACATCATAAACTTCTATCGTACCTCTCCATTGTCAAGGCCTATTTCGTTTTGCAGCGGATTTATGTTCTCTGGTACTGAGGTACAATTTGAGAAATTGGTGAGAAACTCTGAGAGCATAAGACCATCGTAGTTATCCTGAACATCAGTAACATTAGCAGCATTCTGTGAACGGTTGGGGAATCCTTCTGACCCATTAAATGCAGTCTCCATCCTAAGAAAATGGAGAAGTTAAGATCAAGTAGAAAAAAATTACATCCAGGTGACTGAACAGACTAGGATGAGATCATAAACACAATAATAAAGTAAACTTCTTGACGTGAGAAACATGCAAGGTATTTGCCATTATAGTTTTACAAGCTGAGAAACGTATAAGAATAGAGAGAGAGAAATTATAAGAGGAACGTACTTTCTTTGTGAATTATCAAAGCCCTTGTCTTCCAGGGTGCAATCATTCTCTAAATCAATTATTTCAACCTGCTTACCATCACTCGTATGTCTAGGATATTCACCAGACATGTTGGAATTACTCATTGACAAATCAATGTCAACCTGTGGTGCTTCTTTTTCGGTTGTCATAATAGATGGGTATGTGAGAACTGGATCACTACGATGTGTGTCATTTATATCAGATGTTTCCATGAGATTAAGATCGACCATTTTAAATGAACTAGGAAAAAGTTGCTTCTCTTGTGCATATTTGACACCTGGCTCACCACCAGTCCTCGAGAATTGATAATTAGTAACATAACTGTCGTGGGTAGCAGCCATGGTCATCTGTTGATCAAGTGAAGTCCTCTCTGCTTTAGTACCCCTCGTATTTTCACTTAAATTAGTGAGAAGCAAGTGTTCACCAGCAGTGTTAACCAAGGATGGAAGCCATTCTCTAGGTTTCTTTGCCACCTCGCTAATATCAATACCTTCTGCAGCCCGTTTCTCACCTCTCTCATTAACTGAGGTGGACCTTCCAAAACCTGAAAGCCCCAGGCTTGATTCTTGTTCATTGTCATGCATAAAAGCTCTAACTGGAAAAGAATGAGACCTCATGCATTTGCTCTGCACAGCACCATATTCAGGGCCTTCTTCATCCACATCCTCGGCAGACTGGATAACAGCTACTTTAGCTATTTCGGAGTTGGGACAATTTGAATCATGAGGTGCATTTGCTAGCACATCAGCTGCAGAGACATCGTCCGCACCAGCTTGAACTAAATCTTCAGATCCTTTGGTAAGCCTGATATCAGAAGTGTCTTCCTCTTCATTATTGGGAACTTGATCAACCCTGGAGGACCTACATGACAATGCAGAGCGTGTTTTTGTTGGCATATTGGCGAACTTGCTCAATGTTAGTAAATCAGATCCATCCTTGCCTGAGAGATCACCCTCCACAGCACTCTGCTGGATCAGTAAATCCTCTGTAACAATCTGTTTCTCAGTTTCATAATCATTGTTGCTATCCTTCATCTCCTCATTGCCTAGATTTAAGTTTGCTGGATCATGAGAGCCCTTGGAGGGTTCACCATCAGTCTCTTCTTTCAGAACACTAGAAGAACTTGCCTTGGAGCCAGTTTCATCTGGGTAGTTGTATTTACTCAGTCCCGATTCTATATCAGCAGCTTCTTCACTTTCTGGTGCCACCCCACTCAGACCAGATTTCTCCATTCCATCACCAACATCATTGCTAACTTGCTGCTCTTCGTAGTGTTCAGAAACTGTATCATTCTCCCCCTCCATATCAGGGGACACTCTATTCCTATCCGACAATGACCCACTCCTCCCATATTCTCTACCCCACTCTGAGCTATAACCCCGGTAATGCTCTCCTCTCCGCCTTCCTTTCACATGATTCCTTGGATTGAAGTCATCAGGGTATCTTCTCCTGCCCAACCCAGTATCAGAAGCACCAATCCCTAGCCGAGAATGGGCAGATGTTCGGCCCTCCTGCATAAGGTCTTCTTGTTGCCTAAAGTCCTGATAATCCACAGCTTGCCTTTTAAAACTACCATTCTGCCATTTGCCAGAAAGTGCACTCTGAGGTAACAATCCCTTGGAAACTAAATACTCAGCTGCAAGCCTTCCAGCTTCCATCAAAATGTCACCTTTCTGTGGTGGTGGCTGAGGAGGTTGACGAAAAGATTTGGGGTGGCCCTGACCGCGGCCAAAGCCACGGTTATTGAAGCTTCTGTATTCGGAATTGTAAAAACCATGGCCTCTAGCTGAAGTATCTGGTGATATCCTAGATGCACCCATGCCCACCCCCATGGAACCAGACCTGTATCCATTTCCAGGACTTCTATGCCTAGCATGCATGTTACTGCTTCTGATAATATGTATCCAAGTGAATGCTTAGAAATCCTACAAGCAATCAATTCTCACAAAATTGAAAACCCATGTACAGCAAACAAAATACAAGTAGCAGGTGATTGTATAGCTCCAAGCAGTAGGCAAGTAATCAATCTATCTTCAATCAGGGAATCCACAGACAAGATTAAATAATTAAATCCTTCTCACTTTGATCAGCTACTGCAAAGAGAAGGAAAAAACTCCCAGAAAGAAATTATATTGAAGAGGTAAAAGCAATCAAAAAGTAACATTCATCTTAGTAACAGTACACTTGTTGAGGTCAACAGATGAAAATATAGTCAAAATATGAAGCAAATCCAGGAAACCCAGAATCTGAAATTTAAAAATGAAGTGGGATCTTGTCTAAAAATCTGACCTTTCTTGTGTTTTGATATTAAGGATGATACAGTATAATTGTCCAAGACAAGAAGAAGAAGATCCAGAGGTGTGGTTATTAGGGTTTGGAGATCCAGTAGGGTAGATTTATGGCCCCCACTTCAACATACCATCATCATCATCTACACCGTGTCAAAGAAATAAGAACAAAAATCCTCTAAGTAGTCGGTCGAATAATTAATTTCTCCAGTGTGTAAATAAAAGGGAAGAACTTTACGGTCAAATCGATCACAAAGTTTGTAGCTTTCTTTCGAACAAGGAAATGCAGACACATATAATAACTCAAGGAATTTAACCTTTCTTTTTTTCCTTCCTTTCTCCTACTGCTGATGGCAAGCGGCTTTAGGATTGTTAGAGGTTCAGTTTTCAGTTTTTTTTTTTTTTTTTTTTATAATAAAATTTTTTCATTTCCTCAATCTTAAAAAAGGCAAAAAAGAAAAGTAAAGAGAGAGTGAGAAAGAGAGTTTTTGCTTACTTCCCCACTTCTATGCTCTGGCCACGTGTTCACGCGCCTCCTTCTCCACCCTCTATTCCTAGATGAAACACACGACTGTCTTATTTCATTTTTAAAATTGACAGAAATTATGTATCTGACAAATCAAAACATGGGATTTGGCTGGTATCTATTTGACCGTTAGAGATGGAAATAGGTCTTTGATTTACTTAGGTATTTTACTACTGAGTTATTGATTACCTAGGAATTCAGGTTTCTTAGATATTTTTGTTTCAGTTTTACTTCAAGCTGAGGTAAAGAGAGGTTAGTGCAAAGAGACGGGGGGTGAGTTCGGTGGTGTTGTGTGGCCACAAAGCAAAGGTGAGATTGTAGTAAGAATGGTTGGGTGGGTGGGTGGTGAATGGCGATGGTAAGGTGCTCTTTCCACTAACCAAAAAGGAAGATTAGACAGATGAGTGTCTCCTTTCTGCTCTCTTTTTCATCGTCGTACCTACCATCTAATTTTTTAACGACATAATTGCATTTTTAGTATATTAATTTTAGATTTTCTTTCAATTGAGTATATCAATTTTTTTTCTTTTTAATGCATTAGCTTTTTTAAAATTTTCAATCAAGTCTTTCTATCCAAATTTTCGTGATAGTTAATTGAAAAAGATGAAATTACTTATTAATTGTCCAAAAATTGAAAACCAATGACATCAAATAAAATACTTATTACAGCCCCAACTCGTGAAAAAACAATCTTAATTTTTTTGTGAAATTCAAGCATCTCTCTTCTACGAAGGGAAGCAATGCATCTTTAAAGAATATAATAATAATAATCTACAGTAACATGTCGATAGAGAGGGTGGTTGATTGACTGAACCACTGAGTTATTGGTGGAACTACAGAAACAAAATGCTAGCCGTAGAACATAAATAGAAGCAAACATCTGATGAACCATAGCAGGTATTAAAGAAGCCTCCAAGATATCAAAAAAAAAAAAAAAAAAAAGAGTACATTTCGCTGTCACAGAAATATAAACTGTCTTCGTACAAGCTAAAGGCGATTCATGAGCTAAAGAACCAAACTTGCAGTAAAACAAAACTTTGATTGAAGTTGACCTATCAACCTGTATTTCCTTCGTACTTTTTTTTTTTTTTTTTAATTGAATTCTGCTTTGGACATTGAAATGTAACCAGGACGCTACATCTACAAGGTGCAATTTGCTAACTAAGTTAGGGCATGGGGAAAACCAACCAGACAATACTTAATTTTGAGCCTGCAAGCAAAGAGACTCAAAAATATATACTCGTTATCTGAGGACTTTAAAGGCGTAAGTCCAAAATACAGACAACCAGCTATCTGGGTCTCCTCTTTCAATCTGTCTTCTGCAGCTGCAGTGCATGAAACTCTGAAACTTGACTGGCGCTTTCACCATCACATTAATGCCCATTTTCAATTATCTCAGTATTGTTCTCTATTCTATGATGATGGACTGATCTCCTACGAGTCATCTCCTCTCTGCAACAGAGAAAGATATCTCAACCAAACCGAAGTTTCACGAAACAGAAAATGATTAAGACGCCCAGATAATAACTAAAAGAAAAGGGGAAAGGAAGCTTGACATCAAAGAAAACAATTAAATGTATTTTCCTAGTCAATAAAATAGGGAATTCACAAAAACGATACATTCACACATATGCCACTATAGCACTGTGTCCACTGATAAGGCGTTCGCGTACTTGTTCAGTTACAAACTGTATATGCAAGATGAAGAAAATTTACAGAATCAGCAGCAAAAATATGCAGGCAAATTCAATGGCCTAGCAAGCTTTTTTTTTCAAATATGCTAGTTATTATACAGAAAGCAGGTCTGTGTGTAGCATGACATATTGATACTAAAGCTCGAACCACTTCTATTAAGCTAAGAACGTACTTATTGGTATAACCAGTAATTTAATCAATAGCACCTCCATTTCCTTGTATATTTGAATCTTCAAACAAAACAATGACGTTCCATGTCAATATCACCTAACCATTTTCATATTGGTCGCAGAGCTGATACAAAAAAACTTAAATTTGAAATTTCAGCGGTTAGAAGTTCCTAAGGCTGTTGGCAACACTTTTAACCATAACAGCCAGCTTGTTGATCTAGGTTGGTGGAATCTGGGGTCAGAAAATTTTCTGCAAAAACGATGGATAGGGTTTTTAACTCATCCAACAACCTTTCGTTTTGTTTCATAAGTACAATGTTCAGCTGCAATAACTAGGGAACTCAGTGGGATCAAACACTAGATCATTATCATCTGTAGAAAAGAAACTAAGACCAGCAACTACACGTGTAAAATACATGACAGAGAAGACAAAGTTTGAAACCAAGAAACATGCATCAATTATAGAAAAGAAAGAAAGTTATATTTATGACAGTAAAATCAGTAAGAACCTGAGACAGATCCAGATTGAATCATAATGAAGAATAGCAACGACCCTTCGCTTCCAATCTTTTCGAGAGCCTCCGCTACGCTTAACCACAGGCAACTGCTTGATGCCTTTGGCCTCCATCAACTCCTTGGCCATTGCCAAATCAGTGTCAGCATAACACGTCAAAAGTCCACGACTTTGACCTCGGTAGCTTATCCCTCGGGTGCAAACAGTAGAAACAAGACGGGTGTTTACCTGCACCAAATAACAAATAAATATTTCACATATCACACGGGGAGAGCATACAAAATATAGAATGAAACAAAATTAGGATATACGAAAACCTTTTTGAAGCATACTATAATTTTTGCCACATATCACTAATAAACAAATTTATATTGCAGTGGTCGTATAACAGTGTGCACGTGCTGTGTGCGTCCTAATAAAAAAATATGATAAAATGGGACAATAAACAATAAAGTTATAAAGCAGAAAGTTATCTTCATCGTTTTATACATCTATAATTGTTGAATCACCCGTGGAAGCATCACTAGACGTCTTGGACAGCCGTTTGATGTCGCCGTGTGTTAGGATTCCTTCCAGTAAATCTTCATTATCAACTATGAGCACACAATTTTGTTTGCTGTCATGCATATATTTTATAGCTTCTTTCAAGGTTAAGCTCACTGAAACCTTTGCATAGTTCTTTGACATGGCCTTAGAAACCTGGCATCAAGCAGAAAAGAATAGAGTAAATAAATTACACCTAAAAAATAATACACAATTCTGTTTGAAGCATAGTTCTTTGACATGGCCTTAGAAAACTGGCAACAAGCGAAAAAGAATAGAGTAAATAAATTACACCTAAAAAATAATACACAATTCTGTTCGAAGAGAGGGGTTGGCGCACATTAACTAAAAAATGGAAATATTCAAACCTTAAGATCTTCCAAAAGCAAATCTTCATTGATTTCTTCATCATCAGTATCGTTTGAAAGAGAAGAATAACCTCTAGCCAAACTACGTGTATCAGATGTTTCATTCTCCTTGCCATGTTCAGCCACAGAAGGAACCCATATTGCTAACCCAACAGCTCCCTGCTCACATTTCATGGCAGAACTAAATTAGCATTAAAAATGTGAATGCCCAGGAAACATATGGCATGCAATGCTGATGAACACTACAAAGCCTATTAGCAATGACAACAAACCTTGTGCTGTCCCATTTGCAGCGATTTGGCTTATTGATGAAACCAAGAAGCAAAAATACAGTTTAAAAGTTTCTTAAACCATTATAGACTGTTTTAATGGAGAAATATGAGGTTTATGATTGGTTTCACCAAGAATATTATACTCTTACAAAAACTTTTTTTTCTTCAACGAAAATGCCATCATATTTCCAATTATTGAGAGGATAAAATAATCATCTTAACAATCAAGATGATTCTGAAAAATATCAAGTAAATATAGTTACCATGAGGGGAAGGATTATCCTGTAATCTTGTGTCAACTCAAACAGAAGTAGAACTGATGTCAAGGGCACTGAACAAACTGATGCTAATGTAGCAGCCATTCCAACCTACAGCAAAAGATTTGAAATACTTTAATCAACTTGATACAAATTAAAAGGCACATCGGCCAAGAGAGAAATATCAAGATGGTATCTCATAAAAGTTACAATAGCCCAAAATATATGACATCGTACCAATGCATATGCCTGTGGCTGGGCAACGGCAGCATTTCCTGGAATGGCTGAATTGATAAGTTCTGCAGCTGAACCTCCAAACACAGCACCAACAGCTGCACCAATCATCAAACTCGGTGCATAAAGGCCACCTACAAGCAATGAACCCTTACACAGAGCAGTGGCCACAACTTTGGCTGCTGATAGTTGAGTTAACAACCAGATTCCAGGAGCAGCAGCACTCTTCCCAGTGTGTAAGATTTCTTCAACATTGGTGAAACCCCAGTATAGTATTCCAGGATACTTCAGAGCAATTATCCCAGCTCCTAAACCACCTAAAGCAGGGCATGCAACAGCAGGAAGGCCAAATTTTTCCTTGATAAATTCAAATGACTTGGTGAACCAGGTGACTAAGCGAGTGAAGACCACACTTACAACACCACATAGCATGCCTAATATCAGGTATAAGGGTAACTCTGCAAAGCAGTACCCAAAATAGAAAAGATAGTAAGATCATTTGTGATACCAGTTTCTTACTAGATTTGCACATAAAAATCTCATCCATTTTTCATTTACTTCAGAAGGGAGAAAAGAGAGAAGGAAAATATCATAATAATGTGTTTTACACAGACAAATTTATGTCAAATGCAGCATCCAGATATAGAAATAACTACATCGAGAGTGACAAGTAGTACCAGCAGCAGATTTCAAATCATACGACGGCACTGTAAAAGCTGATTGGGTCCCAAGTAACGCATTCGATACAGTTGATGATATCACAGAAGCTAATATAATCATTGCAGTTGTAAATGGAGGTGAATTTTCAGCATGGAGAGGCCTCAACACAGTTTCAATAGCAAAGAAACAACCAGCAACAGGTGCATTGAAACCTGAAAGAGAAGAGCAAAAAGAAATTTAGAAGAAAATTCATATATGACTTTTCTGGAGCAGGATGGAAACAGAAGAAGGAACTGCGATTTGATTCTGACTTTGCTTAAATACCGATTAGCAGGGAAGCAAAGATATGAACTACAGTTGGATAAAAACTACTAGATGATTGCAGAGGAATTCAGTTGCATTTGAAATTAGAGATTCTTACTCAAGTGAAAAGGATAACGAATACACTACAAAAATGATTTATGCAGCAAATCAGCCTTAACATCCTGATTCCTGATACTTTCTCCCTGAAACATGTAAGTCATTTTCCCATTATTTTCATTTTCAATGATTTTCTTTCTAAAATGCCATATAAAGTCACATTACTCCTCTCTCAAGCCTTATCATGCTCAAGTTTAATTGCTTTAAGGCTAATTTTTTATGAAAAATTGGTCTCCCATTGACTAAGAGGTGCAATCTAAGACCTTCAATTGGAAAAATAGAATAGAAGAGTTGAATTATAATTGAATGACTTTCCATATATGGTTGTGTTGTTTTAGGCTATGAATGACCAAATGTTGCCAGATGCTAATAAAATAAGAAAACAGATGATCTTAACATCAAAGCAGCAAGGCAGGTAATATCTGGCTTTTGAAATGATGATTATCTAAAGGAAGTAAACGAGTAGAAACGAAACCTTATCATGTAAAAAGGAGAGATACCTGAAGAAATCCCAGCTGCTGCGCCAGCTGCAACAAGAGTATTCCTCCTTTCTCTGTTGTTTGCCATCATTAATGAGAATCCATGGGCACATGATTTTCCAATGTCAACACTAGGTCCTTCAGGACCCAAAGAACAACCAGTACCTAAAGTAACAGCAGCCTGAATGGCCTTCAAGGTAGGAAAAACTCCAGAAAACAAATCAAAACCTTGTCTCTGAGAAGAAAGGTTCTGCCTTATTTGCTCCAATATTTCGACCAAGCCATGCATCATTCCAACAATAACTCCTCCAGTGACAGGGATTAAAAGAATCCGATGCCAAGTGTCCCCAAGTCTTTGCAGACGGAGCCATGCAGCACCCTCGTTCGGAGTCCCAGCCCAGGCCCATTCATGTATTAAATGAACCTAGAGAAGCATTGCCAAAATATCAATGACAGAAATTCTGAGTAAACAGCAATATTATTGGGGCAATGCAAACGAGAACTCAAATGGTAATGTCAATTGTCAAAGATAAATAGCAATGCAAACACAAGCGCATGATAAAGAAAAAAATGGCAATGCTTTGGTTCACGCGCATAAGAAATAAAAATGTATAAAGGAGCAGCCTTTTTCTTGTTCCTGCTTCTTCTCCTTCAATATGAAACAAAATAATGTGATGTGATTGCACAGTGAAATTGATTGATTGATTGTTAAAGGTTCATGGGAGGGAATTGAGTAGCAATCAAAATCAATCAAAACATAGCCAATTATTGAGAAATTGAGCAGAAACTGAGTAGCAAAGTAGAATGAGAATGAGTGAGAGACAGACAGAGTTCCATCCAGATGAATTACAAAAGAGAAGGCGGCAGAAAAAAAAAAAAAAAAAAAACAGACCCCGTAATTGAAAGCGGCGACACAGAGACCGGAGGCGAGACCGAGAAGGCAACCAATAAGAAGCAACGCCCACTCAGGGGTGGCATCATCCTCTAAAACGTCGTCGTTGTCGTCGTGGTGATTATTAATACGGTGACGATAATTACGATTACGGTGGTTATGATCTGAAATGGAAGAAGTGTGGTCGTCGTAGTCCGTATGATCATGATGATGATTGTTGTTCAAACTGGAGGGACGACGACCCGATAAACCTCGAATCAGATCTTTGATAGAACTCTTATGTCCTGCTCCTCCTCTACTATTGTTGCTACTACTGCTTCTATTGGTTCCTCCTTGTGCTGCTTCCAAGTCATTATTGTCTACTTCTTCGTCGTCTCCATCTTCGTCGTTGTGTTGTTGTGATTTGGAGGAATTAGATTTGAGGAGATGCTTCTGATCGCTGTATTCCACCATCTCCATTGTTGCTAACAACTTTTCTCACCAAAATTCTATCTTTCTTTCCATTAATTCACAATTCCAAATCAGATCAAATATTTCCTTCCTTCCTTCCTTCCTTCTTCGAATGGGAATGGGAATGGATCTTCTTCTCCTTCTTCTTTTCCTGGGATTTCTTCTCTGTTACACAATTAAATTAGTGCTGCGATGTGCTGTAATTTACTTGTACTACTATTACTACTAATTATTTTTTTACTGTTTTCCCATTTCTTTCCTGCGCTTATAACGCTAAGGCTAATGCTGTCATTTCCCTATTATATATATATATATATAATAGTGTCCTGGAGTCAACTTTGGTGTATGTCAACACTAATCTTTCTTTCAGCATAATTGAAAGACACTTCTTATGACATTAGGTTTTGAGAATAAATTCTTAAAAATATTAGCTACGATAATGGTCGAATACTAAACCTATCCTACAAATTAATAATTATTTATCAGTAAATTAACAATCTTGTGGTCATGTATCTGCTAATCTTAGATCTATCTAATATACCACACAGAGACCGGAGGCGAGATGTTCCAAAAATGCAATTAAATCCTTAACGTTCGTTTTGGTTCTACTTCAGCCACGATGACATGCAGGTTTTTTTATGTTCAGACATCAACAATACAATGCCAATGCCCATATATATATATATATATTAATGGTATTCAAATATATATATATATTAATGGTATTCAAATCCAGTGCTTGGCTTCGGGGGACATGATGGTCGTCCATGCCGTAAACAAGAATAACATGACAATCACCGTTTAGCTGCATTTTTGGGACAATGTTTTAGGTTGAAATGGTACTGATATAACATATGAGGAAAAAGCAAATACCCTCTCTTTAAAATACTTATTTGATACACCTCGAGCAACGCTTACTATGAGAAAATTTGAGAAAATGAGAGCACCACATCAAGAGGAAAAGAAAACTAATGGTATTTGCCTATATATATATATATTAGACAAATAAATGTTTCTATTTTCCTTGCAGCAAAAGAACATTGATCATAACAACAATAAATAAACGTTTTGAGAATATAAATAAAGAAATAGAAAATTTACATCTGAGGCCCAAGAGGCAGCCTACTCATGATTTGCTGATACACTGTTGGATTGTTGGCGAGGTTCAGATTAGGTTCTGTTACAGGCTCCAGTTTCGGTTCTCCTTTCGGCATCATGAACCCCATTTCATTCCCAGGACGTTGTTGCGCTAAGAATGGATGAATGGGCATAACAGGCATCTTTGGTTGGCCAGGACCAAACCCAGCCATTGCAAGATTGGCCAACCCATGTTGATTCATTCCAAAAGAGAAACCAGGTGAAGGCCCCAGCTGCTGCCTTCCAGGTAGGTTAAAGGATCCAAATGCAGGAGGAGGCCTCTCAAACCTAGCCATGCTGTTGTGAACTTGTGATGGCTCGGGTCTGTGAGCATGGGTTTGGACAGCAACAGCAGCTTGGGCTTGGGTGGCATTGGAGGTGCCAGAGTTGACATGGCTGCTATTGCGAGCAGCAGGAACATCATGATTGTGCTTCCCCTCATACGTAGTGATCACCGACTTAAGGTCATGTGACGCTCTTTCCACATGCTTTCTCACTGTGCAGCCTGCGCTAGTACACTTGTAATAACTCCTGCAAGAAAACAATCACCAGATTTTCAATTTCAAATTCTGGATAATAGATTTCATCTTCTGCACAAGAAATTGTTGTTATTGTGTGTGCGTGTGTGTTTGGGGGGTGGGTGGGGTGGGTTGGGGTTTGAACAAGAGGCCAATGTTGGTTTAACAACCTAGGATTTGGATTTCCTTTAACAACTTTCTGCCCATACTTTCGCCAGCGATATCCATCATCAAGGATATCTACCTCGCTGGTTGTCTGGACCACAACTCTAGGTTCACGAATAGCTCTGGTGGCTCCACTCATTTCAGTTGCATATGTTTCAATTTTCCTGATATGTCAAACAACATGAGTACATCTTGTGCTGATAATAATCTCATGAGAATGCATGGAAAAACAAAGAATTGGATTGTTAACCTTCTCTTCGACTCAGATTCTTCTCCTTCACCATCATAGCCTACACTACCATGTGTAGCCCGATCATCATCTTCATCATTTGAAAAGGTAGATGAGGCGTCTACAGCATCAGCTGACTCAAAGGGAGTTCCGCTCTGAGCCTGTACCAAGGAAGATGGATTCCCGAATTCAGGGCCTGGGCCCCCAGATGCTGAAGATGTAGCCTCGAGATTGTCATGCCTCCAATCAGAAGTTCCAGCAGCAGTTCCCTTTTGTGTACCAGCCCAAACCGAGTCATTAACAGAACCAATCTGTAGCCCACCTTGTTCGGGAATATCCAGTTGTGTGTCCATTGATCCAATGGCTGACCTCCGGTTGGGTGGCGGCTTCGGATGGTTGTGTGCCCCCTTATATATAATCTCTGTTATATGGCCCTCATGAGAACGTTCCACTTTCTTCTTAACTGGGCAATTTGGATGCGTGCACTTGTAATAACTCCGAGGATACTCGCTTCCTTTTACTTGTTTCTGTCCATATTTTCTCCAATTATATCCATCCTCAGATAGTGTGCACCCAGTGCCGCCAGCAGCCATTGAATCTCCACTGGCTCTTTGATCTCCTTCTTCATCTTGTTGCTCCTCAAGAGGGGAAGAATGCTCAGCATTGCCACCAACAGCATCGAAGGTCCTCTGATCTGCTACGGTATTACCTACATTATCCTTTTCAGTAGTCAATTTGGAGAATTCTACTGGAAAATGGAGGGAGTTTCTACTCTCAGACTGAGCTTTGGCAGGTTCTGCACCATGTGACTCAAGAGCATTCTCAGAGTGAACAGAAACATCGATACTGGGAAAGGATTGCTGCGGAAAAGTGCCTGAAGTTATCTGTATGCAGAACGAAAATATTAACCCTAAATTATACTTATTATTTACCTATTTAGATCAACCACTCCCTTCTTACTCCTATCAAGTGTGGCAGATCACCAGTATTTAAAGCACTCTAAATGAAACATGATAATTACCATGTGCATGTCTCTCTCACTTGCGTGCACTTTTTTTTTTTTCCTTTTACTCCAAAAAAAATAGTCAAAGGGCAAGACTGCCAAGTGTAAAATTACCTTGCTTATTCCGCCATGGAAAAAAGAAGAACCCGATTCTCCCATAGGCTTGAATGCAAATGAAGATGAATTGATGTCTTCGAAGAAAGTTTCTTTACTTCTATCAGGGAGCTCTGAGTCCACTGTGGAGTTCTTACAGTTACCATTTGGAAAAAATGAAAATTTTCCAGTTGTTGGAGATGGCTGAGCCTGAGGAGCAGAGCAGAAAAACTCAATAAAAAGTGTTTCATCTTTCAATGCACTATTAATGCAATAAAATATTGATCTTAGCAAGAGAAAAGATTCAGACATTTAAGATACTACTGAGTGAACCCAAACAATGATTCACCAAAGAGAACAGCCATGGACCGAATTATTTGACTTCAGAAGTATCAAAAAAACCATCTTTTATCAAGGTTTCTCTATGGCTACTCCAGACATGTTCAGGCACACAGATATTTAATCCATAGCTTGTCAACCTATTTCCAAATCAACCTAGTTGTGTCATACTAATATGCATGTCCAAGCAAATGACACAGTGTCATAATAAATGGGTGTTAGCAAGGTAAGGCACGTAGTTTTTGAGCTGCACTACAAAATTAAAACTTTCGGATTTGACTTTAAAATTATTTCTATAGAAAAATTACATCTCCAAGCTCTCGCATGACCCAGATCTGTTGTATGTAATTTTGGTGCAATAAGATTCAGTTATCACAGTCAAAATATCTGGTTCCCTAAATCCCATCAAACCTGATGAGATCATGCTTGAATAAACAGACAAAAATAAAAAGGTGGAGCTAAAATTATGAATCACTGAACTTTCTTCAGAGAAGATTTTCTGATTGTAAACATCTCCCAGTGATTTCTTAAAAATTATATAAACAAAAAATAATCTTAAGTAACAAATCAGGGTCCTAATCCGCCAAGATGTGAAGAAAAAGGAAAAGAAGAAAGCAACTACCCCAGTATGAGGACATTGTATTTAGACAATACATATAAAAATCAAAAGCAGAAGTCGTACTTATATTTGATTGAGCTCATATTGATTAAAGCTTAACCAGAATGAAGGCCTTAGCACAACAATCTGGCATTTACTTTCCATATTTAAGTTCTGTTATTGGACTCAGTTCTCTGTTGTTATTATCTAACTTGAATTAAGAAGTGACTGCAAATCTCAAGAGCTTGTTACTATCTCCTCAGATTCCATTTTTCTCAAAGGTGTCAACAATGTTTCTCTTGAAGGCCAAGGGCCAACCGAACGGAATGTAAGAATTTAGTGATTCTAAAACTTACCAAATTTGAAAGGAAAACTGGCGATTCCAGCAAGGTTGTTGGGCTGAGACCAGGTGGTATTGTCAAATAGGGAGACCTAATCTCAGGGTTCAGTGAAATTTCAGCAGACTTGATACTTTCAGTATTCAACCTTGGAGCATTAAATCCAGCTCTGGCTGCCATTCTTTCAACAAGACCTCCACGTGAGTTTGATTTTTGCTCAGAAAATGAGCCTAATTCAGTCAATTGAGCACTGCTATTTTGTGCTCCATCCTTTTTCTCAGCATTTCCTGTAGTCGTCTGCACTGGTGGTCCCAGAAAGAGCCCTTCATTTCTATTGTCCCCAAGAGGTTCTGGACTTGTTCTGGAGTTAATATTATCACCTAACATAGCTGAGAAAAATGCTCTTGGGCTGGGACTAGGAGGCACCCAATCACCAATTATAGCAACACTATCGTCAATGCCAGCCATGTTTCCAAAATCTCGGCACAAGGTTTAAAGCAACTATTAGTCAAGACGTTGGGGATGGCTGAGTTCCTGAAAGGTTTAAGCAAACATATTACTACATGGTTCAATCAAATACAATCCTAGGAGTTCAAAGAATCACAAACATGCCAGGAAAAAAACCACAAATTTGAATCTAGTTGCAAGGGACATACAGCTAGAAAAAAGGGTCGAAAAAAGATTACACTTTTGAACTGAATTCTTGTTTTACTCAAGCTACAAAACCAACACCTTCATTCAAGAAACTGCAACAGAATTGCTAGGCTTACTTGAGGTGAGTTTACAATAACCGGAAAGCAACAAAAAAACAAAAATGGCATCCAAAGAAAGTATTTTCAGTTATCAAAAAGAAATTCAGCCATAAAGCAACAACTTTGCCAGTAGGTTATTCAATCAATTGAATCCAACTTAGCCTGATTTCCAATTCCAACCAAACATTTATCATCAGAAGAGAAAAAGATGAACAAAGTAGACAAATGGGCAGTAATGATGATCAAGCTGGTTTCCATTTTTTTGTTAGCTGCCAAAAAGTAGCGACCTCATTCTTAATTTGATGGTGTTTTATTGAGGAAACTAATCAAATGAAAAGGATAAAACTTTACAAACTTAAAAATACATAATATCCAAGCTTAAATATTTCACATCAAGATCTAACAATGACAAGGCATTTGATATTACCAAAAGAAAGCAAAATAGGGAAAGTTTTGAAGATCAAAAACACCCCACAAAAAAAGTTTGAAAATTTAGACGAAAAAGGTGAATTAAATTACCAAGCTGAAGGTCAGTACCTTAAATTGGTAGGGAGGATATAGATATCAGACATACAATAACAATAAAAACAAAAGGAAAAATAAAAAGGAAAGTTTCAAAAATTTTGAGAGATTAAAAAAAAAAAAAAAAAAGGAGATAGAGAGAGAATGATTAAAAATGATTACCTGATTGATTGAGGAGCCAAGGCTAAGATGATGATATCTTAGAAGAAAGACCCACCACCACACCACACCTTAACCTTCACCACCACCACCAACACCAACCTGACCCGTTGATGAATGAAATCTGGTTCCTTTGATCACTCCTCTGTTCAATTCAACAGAAACGGAAATGACCCACTTTTTGTTTTTTCAGTATATGTATATAATAACACACCTTCCTCCTATCTCTTTTGTTTTAGCCCAAAAATGATATGATGATGTCTATTGATTTTGAAAAACAAAATCACAAAAAGGAATCACCTTTATTAACTGTTGTTACGCCTGCCATTTCAATAAATTTTTAAAACAAAAACTAAAAACAACAGACGGGGTTAAAAACGAGAGGAGATGATTGTGGAGTGGAATGGTGGGGGACCAGAAATGGATGGAATCTTTGAAGAATGACAATAAAAAGAGAGAAGGAAAGAAAGAAAGCTGAAAACATAAAGCTTTATAGAGCAGTATATCTCATCTTCTTGTTTTTTGTTTCTACATTAATCTTCTCTTCTACTCTCTAATTAATCATTGTCTAAACTGTTTCTCAGTTTTGGACTGGGCTTTCTGTTGCCATTAAATTGAAAACAAATTGTACGCTCTTTTCCAATTGGTCCAATTAAACAATGCCACGTAGCCTCTCAAGGGCAGTATTGTCCTCCAAGTCTTGAGATGGTTGGTTAAAATCGAATGGGGTTGAAAAGGTGGATAGAGTGCACGGGAGAGAGGGTGGCATGTGATTAAATTAAAAAGATATGGGATTTTGCATAAATGAGTAGTTATTAAGGCTAAAAAGGAAAAAAAAAACAATAATGGCAAAAATGTGTAACGTTGGGGTGTCAAGTTACATAGGTGCCTAACACCTGTATGTTTTACCTCCTATGAATGTGAAAGATGTTATAACCAACTCAATCTATGAGACAAGATTTTAAGAACCGTAGTATTTTTTATTTTCTATTCATAGTAAAAGCATTATCCGACTTTTTTTTTTATTTCGATATTTTTCCTATATTAAAAATATGATTAATTCTATTCAGGATGAAACCAATAAAATTTAGATTCGAACATTATATATTAGTAAAAACTTCATCAGAACCAATTCGTTCGTTTTCGTCACAACTTATTATTAGTATAATGCAACTAACTTTAAGTATTAAATTTTTGTTTAAATAATTTCAAATACATATTTCTTATTGATTTAATATATTTAAAAGAATAGATTCTTGAGAATACTGAAGACAAAGTTGGAAGTCAATTTTTTTTTTTAAAAAAAAGAAGTATATATACTTCTTCATGATCGGCCCTATCTCATGGAAATATTTTAAGTTGCGTTTTGCTTTGCTTGCATTGTGAATAAACGGAGCCCCCAAAGATGCATGATCATGGAGTCTACGATGAGGACAAATGGAAAAGGTTTAATTCTCATTTTTGAACCATTTATTTGGAATCATCATACTTCGTACGTACAAAAATGGAATTAAGGGTTATTTTATTTTAATAATTTATTATAAGGACTGGCTGATGATAAAATGATTAACTTTTATATATTGAGCTATTAATATTCCTGCTGACTGTTAAAGTTTTTTTTTCCTTTTTTTATATATATAATTAAAAAAAAAAAAAAGGGATCCAATTCTCTCTAATCTTATCAATGGAAATTTTCTTTCTTGAGATCTGCCCACCAATCAATTACATAAAGTTATTCTTCGTATTATCTGATTTTTATGTATATGATATAAGATTAAGAAGGTTTTCTGTCTATTTATTTTCAAATTTCGAATGATTTTTTTTTTTTGAAAAAAAATTAATTTACTTACAAATTGTTCGAATTAGGATAGCCAGACACGTGGAGAAAATTAAAAAGAAAAAAGTATACGTGAATATTGATTTATTTATTGAGAAATTAGGTAGCTAGTGGTAGCTTTTAAGATGGAAATCTAGCTAGCAGGTAGAGGAGTAGTAAACATACAGGAAGAATTTAGGTACTGATTAAGGGATCTATCTAAATATGAAGTACTACAACTGTAACATTCTTAACCTAAAACCTACCTTATTCATTCTGTCACGTCTAAGCCAGCAATAATCGGCAACGTTATCTCATATTTTTTTGTTTTATCCATTTATCTCTGTTTTACATTGAATATATAATTAATTATATTCGAAGCGAATAGATAAAATTTAAACTTTATATTAAAAAAATTATCAAAAAACAGCTTATTTATAATTGGATAATAACTTGTTGGTAGCGTTATTTCATGTGTTAATAGAGAGTGATCAACCATGACATTGATTAGATCATTTAGAAGGCTTGCATGTAACAATACCATCCGCCAAAATGAATATTTTACCCTTTTTTTCCCCCCATTCAATCATTCACCTTCGGAATCAGAATGATTGATGGATGGATGTATGGTGCAATGTCACTCTAGCTATTTACTGAATGCAAGTATTGATTTGCTAGTTTCGTCTGTAAGTTTTCCTTTTGTTTTGGCCAAATCCCAACTTGGCTAGTAATGAGCATTATCCGGTTAACATTGAAAAATTGAGTCGAGTGGAATTGAATCAGCAATTTTGATTCGGTTTTGTATAAAAGAAATTGAAAAAAAAAATGAAACCGAAATTTTGGTTTGATTCGTTTTTTTTTTTAAATTTCATTTTCATTGAAAATCGAATTTTTTTTTTTTAACACACACACCTAAGGTAGTTCTGCTAGAATTTGAACTTGTAACCTCTTGCAAGAGAACTATCATTGATCTATAAACTCTTTTGTATCTAATTAGTTAGGGATGAGTATTATTCAAGCTATTATATTTGAATTTTTAGTAGACATGAGATCACACGGACTTTGATCGTGACATTTTTTAATTATTTTTTTTGCTAAAATTTTAATTCAAGCTATTAACATTTCTTAAAAATCGAAAAAAAAAAACCAGAAAAGTGGCCTTTGAACTTAATTCAAAAGAAAACATGCAAAAAAAAATCTAACCGAAAACCAAACTGAAAATTTGGTTTTTGAACCGAACCACCGAACCTCAATTCGGTTTGATTTTAATTAATCCGATTAATAAAAAAAAATCAAAACCAAACAAAAAAAACTAAACGATCACCTCTAAACCTGAACTACGATTTACCGACTTTTGCTCATGGGATTGATATCATCTCAGTTAGCAGATTTTTTTTATCATCATGTAGATCAACCCATGGACTCTTTTTGAAACAAATGGAGTTATATATGTTATGCTAGACATTTCCTTTTATAATTATTATTTTGATGTGGATATATATATATATTGCATTACATTCTGCTAAATTTTGCTTCAAAAAAATCGAATTGAATAACTAGCTAGCTGCTCAAAACAAATTTTTTTAAAAAAATGAAGCAAAAGGCAAGAAGGTGGGAAGGACTTTGACTGAGACTTTGTCTGTGCTGCATGGATTGGGCCATGATTGGCAAAGAAAAGTTAAAAAAAAAAAAAAAAAAACAAAGAAAAACAGTGGGTTGATTTAGTCAAAGAAGGAAAATAATATGTTAGTGAAAACAGGGGAGAACAGAAAAACTGGCATCAATCAAGTACAGGTGGAGATGTAACTTTTGTTTGGATATGGAAATACTATGCCAATTGGATGGATGATGCATGCATGGACATTACTCTTTACTACTACATAAGACTAAGATAAGAAACAGCATTTCAGCCTTTTGTTTGATCATGCCATGTCATGTCATGTCATGTCATGTGACCCATCTGATTTTAGGTTACATTCCCTTGTTTAGTTGCCTATCAAGGAGGTATTAATAGATAGATTATTTATCAGGACAAGAGATGTCAGACGTGACCTCAGCTTCCCAGTCAAAAAGCTACCCTTTGACCATGTCTTTGTCTTCCTTTTCTTCTTCTTTCATACGCTCACTCTACTGCCGAATGCTACTGATACCAATGTTTTCTTAGCAAATCAAACTCAATCGCCAAGTGGACCCCATTCTTAAGACTAAACTCTATAACGTGTTTGGTGATTACAAAAAATAAATAAAAAATAAATAAACAGTATTTGGAACCTTGAAAAAGCAAAGAAAATGGAAGCAACATTAGAGATATGTATGTTCGTTCTTAGTTCCTGTGCTTTATTTTCAGAACTTGTTGCTCAAAATATACCTTAATTGATGTTTCTTAGTTCTGACTTCTGAAATGTTTGTGAATATATTCTCATCAGGGACCTCGATTTTTTACCAAAGCCAAAGAACCTGTACTTTATTTTCAGAACTTGTTGCTCAAAATACACCTTAATTGATGTTTACAGCCTGATTCTGTGCAGCCTGCAGTATTTATGACCTTCGCCGTCTATTTGTCTCCATTTTTGTCACAAACCCAGGAAATTATAAAAAAAGGCATCAGTGGGGTGGGGACATCGTAAAGACTGGGGTTGGGATGCTGGAGGCCAATCTTGGACTCTTTCAAGGTAAAACTTGAGTCAGAGAATGAACCAGTTTTCCTGTCAATGGGACCTCTCCTTGGACTGAATTCCATGACTGAATCATTTCAAGGAATCTGTTGCCAGTGAGTGGGCCACACGGACCCCATTCTTGGAACTTCAAGAGGAGTTGAGACTTGAGGGCGCCTGCCTATCTATAGATATGTGCCTTGGATTGGCATTGGTTTGGGCCCATATTGAGCCTGGAAAACTATCCTACTTGGGTTTCTTTCATTCTTGTATGTGGGCCTTTCCAAGGCAGGGATGTTTTACAGCCATCGTCAATCAGGATTCAGGACAATAAATGATTGGATAGAAAGGGTAACGGAAAAGGATTGAAGCAGAGTCCAGGATCAGATCATGCTTTGAATGCAGTTAGGTCATAGATGTCCATATCCTACACATACAAGTTAGAAAATGCCTTTTAAGTTTATAGAAGCTATACAGGTGCTCAGTTTAGCTCACTGTAGCTGCTTCAACTTCTAGCTGAAATGGCTATGTAAAAGGCCGAGGGACCATTGCTAATGCTATTAGAAGGAAATCCCAGTTACGGAAGATGCGTTTGAGACAAAATGACAGCTTGGAATTGGAAAAAAAAAAAAAAAGGATTGAAGAAAATAGGAATGGTGGGCCAGACAGCGTTATTTTTCCTTCCTGAAATCAAAAGCAATCTAAGGAACACCCGTGAAGGAGAATTTATGAGCCAAGGAAGATTTAGACGTGCATGCTTATGTTGACAAATGCATCGTTATCAGCCGAAGGAGTTTTGTCAAGAACATCATGAGAGAGTTTGATTCTTGGAGTCTAAATAAAATTAATAATGGTGATGCTAAAAAGATTTTTATTCCTACAGGAACCTAGTACTCCACGTCTTTCTAATTAAACCGAACAAAAAATGAAAAAAATGTTATCATATCGTGCCAAAACATCCGTGAACCATTTAAAACACACAAAAGCACAAGATGCCATCAGCTTGAGGTTTCTCAGACAAAAATCACCAGCATTTGCTTATGTCACCTTATTGTCAAGGACAGACAAAGAGGTGCTTTTTTTTTTAAAACGTTTTTGCACTGCATGCCGATGGATCCTTTGAACGCACGATGAGATGGGCACAAGCTTTTTACAAGAGATTCCATTACTTGACATGTTGCTTGTTTAGAACTGCTGCAATCAACAGAAAGAATAGAATATAATATTTATTGTTCCATTTCTATGACCACAATCTTCACAGGTCTCCTAGTGTGATGTTGAAACACCACTGGTTTTTTTCCTCAACTTTGTTATTAAATTCTGGATGAAGCTAAGTAAGATGATGTCAAATTCTACAGCGTTCAGAAAAAGAAACTTTAAAATAGAGTAGTCTTTAGCAGCCTCCCCAGGGGTGCTTCAGTTAATTGGATGGTGTGTGTTGCGACTTGATTTGGATGTTCCTTAAACTTTAAAGATGGCATGACTTGTGATGATGAGGAGGTAGTTAAATCTAAAGCTTGAAATGGGATAACCTTCATGCTGATATGGAAAACGCAAAAGGGAAAAGACTAATGGGAATGCTACAGAGGTTGATTGGAAAAGAAATGGTTGTGGATCATCATATTCCTGAATCAATTTGCTTTAATCCATTCTACGTACGTTGTCTCCTGATAGAACGGTTGTCCAAGTTTACTACTTAACGCAAGCAATACACTTGTGATTTACTTTCCAACAATGCTATCACTACAACTCTACAAAACAGTGTGTTCATTTCTGAAATCATAGCTTCCTATAAACAGCAATAATTGGAAAATAAACAAACAAATAGTGAAACATCAGTTAGCAAAACTGTGACAGAATAAAGAAGCTAATGGTTAAGAGACAAAGGTTCAAGTATTTTGCAATAGACGTGAATCCGTGATGATCAAAGGACCAAAAAAGAGAATATGTTACCCATCGAAGGATCCATTCCTTTGTTCTCTCCCCATTTTCCTGCAACTTTCTCTGTGTCATTTCAGCATTCTATTATTTACAGTCGCTGAAATCTGAAGGATTACCCCTTATCCAATTCAAAAGCGCAAATGACCACTTCCATATCTGTAATCACAGGCAGAGCACATCAGAGGTGCCAGAAGACAAAACCTTCCAGTTCAATCGAATGCTAAAACATCATGAACTAGACTCTTTCTCCCTGAGTTCATCAATACTGGCATCTTTCAATGAGAAACCATCTAGGATATCGCTTTCGGAGTCCACCTGAAGCTCTTTGAACATGGCCATAACTTGTATCATGGTCGGCCGTCTGAAAGGCCGGTCATCAAGGCACTCAAAAGCAATTCTCAAATACTGGTATAATTCGGCCTCTCCAGATTTTTGTGTCATTAACTCAGGGTCCAGTATCTCAATGCTTCTCTTCTCTCTATATAGCTGCTTTGCCCATCCAACAAGGTTGTTATCATCACCAAACTCAGCGGAATCTATTGGCTTCTTTCCTGAGAGGAGCTCCAGAAGTATGACACCGTAGCTGTAGACATCCCCTTTTGATGTGCATCTAAAGCTCTGATAATACTCAGGGGGCACATAACCAGGAGTTCCTGCAAGTGTACTCACGCTAAGATGCGTGTCAAGGGCGTTCACTAATCTTGCCATTCCGAAATCAGAAACCCGAGCTTCAAAGTTTTCATCTAAAAGAACATTGCTAGACTTCATGTCACGGTGGATAATGTGAGGTATGCAGCTGTGATGAAGGAAAGCAAGACCTCTTGCTGAGCCTATTGCAACTTTCTTTCTTGCTGCCCAATCAAGCCTTGAGCTCCCCCTTTTGACCTGTCATGAAGAACAGACTCTAAACTCCCCCATTTCATGTATTCATACACAAGAAGTCTCTCCTCTCCAATTTTGCAGTAACCCAGTAAAGGGACCAGGTTTCGGTGCTTGATCTTCCCGATAGTTTCCATTTCTGCCATAAACTCCCTGTCCCCCTGACCTGTGACATGAATTAGCTTCTTTATAGCAACAACACAGCCATCTTTTAGTTGTGCCTTGTATACCTCTCCAAACCCACCAGACCCTATTAAGCTCTCAGCACTGAAACCATTCGTAGCTTCAAGTAGATGGGCAAAAGTCAGCTTCCGAAGAGGTTTCTCGAAAGTAGCAATGTTGATGCTCAAAGGCTCAGGAACACCTGAAAGTTTCCAGCTGCTGCTACCTGAAGTTGGGAGGCTGTCGATGTACTTCTCCCTCTGTTCTTCCTTCTGCTGGTACCTCTTCACTCGATAAAGAGCCAATGTAAGGCCAAAGAGGCAGAAGACAAAAAATGTGAGGCCAATGACCACCCCTACTGCCACAGATTGCTTCTTCCCCCGACTGGTAACCCTTGTTGGGTGACCTCCAGAGCCACAAGGCGGCAATGGTACCCCGCAGAGACCAGAATTGTTTTCGTACCTGGATTGGAGGAAAGTTGTTAGCTGCCCTCCAGAAGGGATAGGACCAGTGAGGTTGTTGTTCGACACATCAAGATCACTAAGAAATGAGAGAGTCCCTAGAGACCCTGGTATAAATCCTTGAAGATCATTGTGTGAGAGATCCAGAACTCCAATTGCTTTCAAACCTCCAAAACTATCAGGAATATTTCCACTTAGCTTATTGTGCCCCAAGTTCAAGACCTGCAAATAGCTCATCTCACCAAAATTTTGAGGGATAGCTCCTGACAACGAATTGTAGGCAAGATCAAGGAATATCATGCTGCCATTGGTGATGAAAGTATAAACTGTCATGCCAGAGTAAATTCTTGTTGTTGGACAAGAGTGAACCATAGGAAGTTTTTCCAGCCTTTCTGCCCGGATCCCCTGAAATTCAACCAGTCCCCCAGCTCCTCGGCATGATGTCCCTCCCTCATTTCTTACAAATGCAAACTGCTTCCCAGATACAATTCCAGGAACAACTAGGCCAGCTTGGTCTGCAACCTCAGGTGGGAGAGGACCACTCAGGTTGTTGCTGTTCAAATCAAGCCAAATGAGGCTCCGACACTTGCCAAGCTCTGGTGGTATTTGCCCGGTAAGTGAATTGTTACCCATTTGGAGAACAGCCAGATTAACTAGATTTCCAATGCCCGCAGGAATTTCTCCAGCAAGCCGGTTGCTGGAAAGGGAAACCCAAATCATATTGGTGCAATTGGCAATGGACTGCGGAATGCTTCCTGTGATGAGATTATTGTTGAGAATCAATGTCTCAAGGTTTCCACCATTAACACAAATGCCTTCCGGTATCTCACCAGTGAGGTTGTTCGCCCACATAACCAAGTCCAAAAGATTTGGCAAGAACCAAACCTCCAAGGGAATTGGTCCAATCAGGTTGTTGAAACTAAGATCAATGCTCCTGAGGTTCTTGCAGCTTCCAAGCTCTGGTGGAACTTTTCCTGATAGGTAATTATCAGCTAGGAGCAACTTTTGCAGCGCGGTTGGGTTTGAGGAGGAACACAACTTAGAAGGAACATCCCCAGTAAATCCATTGGAACTGAGGTCAAGCACTTGAAGCTGGGTACAATTTGTAAGAGACAGAGGCACGGTACCGGTAATGTTGTTGAATGGAACATACAGATACTTCAAACTTTGAAGTTTGCTCACAACAGCAGTGAGGAAATCCCCTGAGAGCAGATTGTTGCCAAGATTCAGACTCTGCATAGAAGAACACGATACAAAAGTCAGCGGCAAGCCACCGGTGAGTTTGTTTGCTGATAGATCCAATTCCTGTAGATTTCCACAGGTCTGTCCCAACTCAAGAGGAATATCACCATAAAACAGATTGTGAGCCAGAGACAGCTGCCTTAAATTCGTGAAACTCCCCAACAAGGCACCAGGAATCTTGAATTGCAGCTCGTTATGGGAGAGGTTGAGCGTCCGTAGAAGCGCACAGTTTCTCAAACTAAATGGAAATCTACTGCCAGAGAGCCTATTTTGTGACAAACTGAGCCAAGTAAGATTGCCACAGTGAGCAAAATCAAGGCTGGAGAAGCTGCCAGAGAAGTTGTTGTGTGAGAGATCCAAATAGGTGAGAGATGATGGCGAGTCTGCAAAAAACGTAGGAGGTATCTCCCCAGAGAATAGATTGTATGATAGGTCTAAAATGGATAGACTCTTGCAAGACGAGGGAGTTACTCCAAGTTTTCCAGCAAGCTTGTTATCGGAGAAGTTGAGATGATTCAAGTTCTGGCAGGTAGAAAGAGAGTAGGTCAACCAGGTAGGATCGGAAATAGTATTGTGAGCGAGGTCAAGCTGTAGCAAGGAAGGACCGAATCGAAGGGAACCACCAGGAATGGAATTATGAGAGAGATTTACATAAGAGAGATGATTACAAGACTCAAAAAAGGACTTTATTGGAAGAGGGTCAGAGATGTTGTTTGAAGACAAGTCAAGAGTCTCAAGAACACAAGGAGATGAAGCAGAAAGATCAGCAGCAGAGAATGAATTGCCTTGCAAATAAAGATGTTTGAGAGATGGCAAGGCCCCAGTTAGATCATAGAGGTTTAGGGTTCCAATGAGACCAGCGTTGATGAGGTTGAGAGTAGTAACATGGGAACCATTAGAGCAAGATATGCCTGACCATGAACATGGAGTTGCAGAATTGGGAGACCAGTTGGATAATAAATTATTCGGATCAGATTGAACAGAGGATTTCTTGAAGGCTAATAACCCCACAACTTCATTATTGCTACTTTGCTGTGAAGACAACTCTCTGGCTTGTGATGATGATGGCATAAATAACAGCAGCAACAGCAATCCAAAACCAAAGATTCTAATCATAGCTTTGGGTGGTTGCCTTTGTGATGATATCTTCCATTGTTTCTTCATTTTTTTTTCTTTTTTGATAATCTGGGTGTTCAGATTTGCTTCAGCATGAAGATGCCCTTTTAATTAGCTCTCTGAACCTCTCTCTGCATTAGCCTTATTGTTGCAATTGAATAAATCTTCAAAAAATGAAAGCTTTCTCCTTTCTTCTGTCTGTTAGTTTCTCTGTGTCTGCCTTCCCATCAAATAAGCATCTTTTCCGGAAGCATTTAGAGATCTGTTTTTAATTAAATCGTCTTCTTTGGTTTCATATTTCACCAAATTTCCAAACTTTGACTTGTTGCCTGAAAATCTGAAATTTTAAAAAAATATTGGTAATTAAGAATAAATTAAGAAAAAAGATAGAGACCGTGGAAATCACTGTCAAAGAGGTAGTAATCAAGTGGACTAAAATTCCAAATTCACATTAAAAAAAAAAAAGAAAAAAAACAGAGAAAGGGAAGAATAAGAAGAAGAGGGGGAGAAATTTACCTGGAGTAGTTATAGTAGTAGAGGGAAGGTGATGTGATGGTTGCTTGTAGAGTACAAATTAAGTCCAAGGAAATCAGAGAATCAGTTAAGGAAGAAGACAGAAGAGTGTGTGTGTGTGTGTGGGCGTGAGGAGTACGATGTGCAGAAAGAAGATAGAAATGTCGGCTGTCACTTGGTGACAGATACCATAACCAACGTGTGACAGACGTATACCATTACCAATTAAAGAAACCAAATTTATTATTCAAAAATCCAGCCAGAAACAGGAAGAAGAACAAGTACTACTAGTACCACTGCGTGCAGGCCGGTCAGCCCAGGTGGTGCAAGGCTAAGCTGGAGGTTTAGGAGAAAGAGCGAGGGGGAAGAAGAAGAAAATGGGCATAAAAGTAAAGAAAGAAGTAAAAAGATGTCATTCATTCATGTTGTTGTTAAGACCAAGTAAAGTGACATCTCCGCACGCACACGCACACACATCTCAGAGAGAGAAAGAGAATAGAATATTAGCAGTCGAGGAGTCGCTTAAGAGGACAAGTTGAATGGTGGTGCATTCGGGGTTGGCAAGGCAAGGCAAGGCAACAGACAGAGAGAGAAAGAGAGAAGGCAAATAATAATAATAAAGAAAAAAAGAAAGAATAGGGAAAGAGTGAATTGTGGGAGATGTGAATCTGTTGCTCCCCACTTATTTTTTAAAAATTTCTCATTTTTCGGGTCCAGTCAAACTTTGGATTTGATTCTCTCTTCTCTCTCTCTCTCTCTCTCCCAAACTCCACCTTTTCTAGGACTAGGAGGAGCTGCTGCTTTTGTCTTGCTTGTACGCCTCTCTCACTCTCTCTCTCTCCCCTCATAATATCTCGTATCAAAATTAATTAAACTAAAGAAAGTACTATTTAAAGGTAAACTAGAAAGTAGCGATGTATACTAACTAGAAAACTGTAGCTCTTTACCTTAACATCTCACTCAACACAGCACAAGACACTAGCTCAGCTTAAGTTGCCCATTTTTGGTCGCTATAGAGCCCAGAAAAAAAAAAAAAAAAAAGAGTTCAATCTAATCGTATGTTATTGTTCATGACATAAATGCATTTTCATTGCCATTCTCCATGACCTATATCTGATCTGTTCATGATGGGATTAAACAAATCCTCATTTTTCTTAAGCATTACTTTTGCTTTCTTTCTTGAAAGTTGAATTATATGCTATTCTATATTTATCTACCTTGACCCACTTGCTTTCTTCGTCGGAATAGTTTACAATTGCATTTCTTACCTATATACAACTGTATATATTTAATATTTCTGTGACATGACTTTCTACTAAAAAATAAAATTTGGAAAATTAACCTAAATATACATACATATATATATAGGGACACGTTCCTCATATTTAATTTTGCAAAGTCAAATTTAACCCCACAAATTATATATATCAATACGGATTAGCTAGCAAGAATGAAGCAACGACAGCTCTAAAGTGCAATGTTTGTGACATTATAGTACATTTTCGTGTTTTGTAGTTGGAGGTACAGTGAGTAAGAAATAGAACACCTAACCACCGAAGAAGATGAAGAAGCAGTAACGTTCGGTAGGATAGACCCCAAGAGAAATTAATAGAGGGGTTGTTGTCTAGTTTTGGGTCAATGGTTAGAATATGTATACATACGAACAAAACGAGACTTAAATAATTAGCTAAGGCAGCATAAGAGAATGCATGCGCATCAATGGTTACATTATGATGATGTTGAAAGAAATATTTAACTAAATTAGAGAAAACCCAAAATTAAAAATGGGATTTTTGAAAAAAAAAAAGAAGAAAGAATCCCTTGGCATGGGGATATTGGATTGTATTGGAAGGGACAACATTTTGCTTGGAAAGCGGTGGGTTCCCTGTACTAGGTAGTCCTGCTATACGTTTACATTTGTATTTTAGCATATAATAATGATAATTACGTGCCAACATGTATAGACATCTCTGGTTCTTGGAAGGCGATACAAGCTAAAAGCATGAGGAGGCAGGTTGGCAGGCAGGCACGGGGCGCGGGACGTCGGGCTAGATGGCTATGAATATTGGATTTGGATGGATGTGCATGTCTGGCTTGGTTGTATTGCACCATCCCAATCATATATAATTTTTTTTTTGAAGGTGAAGTATTTTGTCTCCATATGCACACCACACGAGTGCATCCTGCCCGGTCATACCTTCAACCACCTTTTTATTTCTACATCTCTCACTTCTAATTTCTCCCTAAATAGAATATAATATAACCCCTTGGGCTAGGCTAGGCTTCATGATCGTCAAACTTGCCATCTTTTTTTGAATTCGTAATTCGAAACATCATATTAGAGTTAGTATTATGAGAAAATTTATAATACATAAAGAGTAATTAGTGATATATGAATAATTATTCTATAAGCTTATTTTGAGAAAAAGATTTCACATTTACTAAAAGTGATAAGAAGATTTTTACGTCTCGCTCAAATTTTTTTATTTTTACTCTCTTGTTTCTCTCTCTTTCTCTCTCTTTTGTGTTTATCTCTCTCTTCAAAGTGAGCTCATACAATAACTACAATATATGTTATTATTTACTCTTTGTGTATTATAAAATTACTCGTAGTATTGAATTACTATCTCATTTAAAAACTTAAGTTAGTAGGTAAGACATTATTTTCCGATACATCTTCTCAAAATGAAAGTTTTTTGAGTTTGAAATTTAATCAAACTCATATTACCTTACCCTTAATTAATTATAAGAAAAAGTGGAATGACAAGATTCAAACTCGTGATCTGTTTGATCATCAAGAGTATCAAGACTCGATACAATGTCAAAGAACTATCTTATAAAAAAAACTTAAGTATTTAAATGAAAGATGTAAGAGATATTTTTAAAATTATATGGAAAAAACAAAAATTTAATTTCAATTGACACACAACAAAAATATATTTGTCATATATATATACATATATCCGTTTATATGCACTAAATTGGTATAGAAATATATTTTTAAAGAAAAATCAGTTTTAATTGACATACAAGTTGGTCTTAAGACGTTTTTTTTTTTTTTTACAGTAAAAAAAAAAAAAACATAGAACAGAATATGATAGATTCGTACTTTACAGGCATCCGGAAGAAAAAAAGAAAAGACTCCATCTCTTCCACAAGTCACAAAGGCCATGTAGAGAAACGAGACAAGAGGTCCTTTTCCATGTAAGACTTAGTGATAAGAAAGATAGATAATTTGGTGTAAATTTGAAACTTGATTATCACAGACTTTATATGTATATATATTAAGCTAAGGTTAAACAAGAAATAAAATAAAAAAAGACAATGATGGTTAAAAAAAAAACAAAAAAAGCAAATGCTTTTTCGATAGAAAACAGCGGAATCCTCGCAAAGAAAGCAGGCAGATTTATGGACCATCCCTTTTATATATTCTTCTTTATTTTTTGGTTTTGTTTTGTTTTGATGGCAGACATATCTTCTTTTTTGAATGATTATATAAAATGGGTGTGGTGTGGCCCTTCCTCCCTTCCTTTTACCAAAGCCAAGAAAGACTTAGCATTAACGTTAGTCGTTAATTAACCTAGCTAGCTCATTAATTACTATGCCTGCCTTCTTGCGTACTCACACCATTTAATTAACTGTCCTTTTCCTTTTACCACACGATCGTCTCCATTTCATTAACATTCGTCCTTTAAATGCTACCACCGTATGCACCTTCTTTTCATCATTTATTTACTTCATTAATTTACATCTTAATTACACATACATATAGATAGCAATTCATCAAATTTATGAGTTTTAGAGTTTATTTTTTGTTTTTTTTTCCCTTGGTTTTATTATTGTTTTCATGTGCTAATTACTACCACTACTACTATATTTCCTTTTGTTTTCTTTTAGCCATGTGTATCTTTTTGACCAATCTTCACGTGAAGATATTCAATTCTTTCAAATAGTGCATCTACGGACCAAAAAAAATAAAAAATTGGTACATTCCTGAATTTGATCTAGCTCCTAGTAAGATGGGAGTGTGCATTATATGCTTTGGTTTCAATGAAGGTACCGTCTTCTTTTGAAAATTTGAAATTAGGTAGGTGAAGTTCGTCCCCCATAAGATAAGGCAAACCAAAAGAAGACAAGTCTTGAATCTTGATGAGACAATAATACCATCCCTATAGGTCTAATCAAGTGGGAGGGAAAAAAGAAAAAAGAAAAAAACCGAATGGGTCTAAGCTGGTAATAGTAGTAGGATTTTTGGTGGTGGTGGTGGTGGAGGTCGTGAAGTGGACCCTTCCGAAATATTTGACTTATAGCTGCATTACGGAGGAAGGAAGATGCGTTTGTTGCGTTTAGAAGAGGGAAATTTAATTGTTTGAAAACGTGTCCAAAATGTCTTTATATATGCAAGTACGTGGTAGGGACGTTAGTTGAAAATGCATGGTTAGCTTAGAAAGGACGTATTATTAGTTTCCACACTAGTCCACACCCTCCCTCCCTCCCTGATTTGATTCACCCTTTAATTCCGTATCTAGGGTTTGGCATGAACTGTATATATATATATATGCGAAAAAAGAGAAAAGAGATCCTCCGAAACCTACAAACTTTGGAATTTAATTTGTTTAACATTTTAATTTTAATATGTTTTGTTACCAAGCATTGAGTAATTAATACACAAATAGAATTGATTTAGTGATTGTGTACCCAGCTAGCTTTTTTAATAAAATAAAATTTAAATCTTGATTATTTTAGTTTTTTTTAATGATTATGTAACTGGGAGGGCTACCCTCACTTGGTAACCCAATAAATTAATTGAGATTTCAATGAATTAAAAATATATATATATATATATATCGACCATAATTTTTTTTAAAAAGCATTGATTAATTAATTGATCGATATCATGAAAAGAGAACGCCTTGTTAGATACGTTTGAATTGAAACAACCCAACTTTTGGAATTGATATGTTGTGGCATGATGATGAAAATCCATAAATGGCCATGAGAGGATATTGATTGTTCATAACAATTGCTTTCACTCATAATTAGGTTGGCTCCTAATGTCAAAGCAAAAAGTGTAGCTTCCTAAAAAAAAAAAAAAAAAAGATGAAAAAAATACATCAAATCCCTTGTATTCTGATCAGTTGCTAGGTCTAGAAGAAATTAAAAAGATTGAGGCAAGCAAGGGACCCCTAACCCTACCCTTACCTATACAAAAAGAAGAAGAAGAAGAAAGAAAGAAAAAGAAAAGAAAAAAAGTAGCTCCCACTTTCTACTCGCTTTCCCCTTTAATTTAACAACAATATCACTTTCCAAAAACTACATACTATTTACAAACTTACAATAAATCAAACAATTATGAACCCATCAGATATGGACGATTAACAAAGTTGGGTCATATTCATTACTAATTATGCTTCAAACAGTACGTATGAAAGGGGTGTCGTTAAGCAATGGTTTAATCCCTCAAGGGAGTCCTTCAACCATAATCTAATCCCTTATATATACACACACACTTTTCTCAAATGATAGTTGAAAGTTTTCTCATAAGAAAAAAGAAAAAACAAAGAAGAAGAACAAGTTGTTTGTGAGCTCTTGAATAGATAACCGAAATAGACTCCGAAATTGCGGATCATCCACAAGCAATAAGAAAGAAGTTGTTGAGAAATTTTATAATACACCGAGAGTAACTAGTGACATGTATAATAGTTACTTCATAGACTCACTTTAAGGAGAGAGATAGACATATAGAAAAAAGAAAGAGAGAAACATGAGTGAGAAAATAAAAAAATTTGAGCGGATGTGGAAATCTTTTTATCATTTTTTATAGGTATAGATGTAATTTCTATCTTTTTTATATGTCTATTTCTCTTTTTAAAGTGGATCTATGGAGTAACTATCGTATATACCACTAGTTATTCCTCGTGTATTATAAAATTTTTCGAAATTACTTCATTAGATATCGGTAAATCATGAATAAACGACTTGTACAAAAACATATCAAAATTCTTAAACATTAAAGTATTCCATGTTTCTAATATATGAATTCCTTTTCTGTAGTCTGATTTAAAAGAATTAATCATGGAATGAATCTTTCAGGATATAGCGAAAAAAAGCGATTGATGTGGTAGAAGTAAATATCATGAAAAATTGATCAGTAATTATTACAGATGGACTTGATGTTTGAATTTTTTGCAGCCAAGGACGAAACTTATCCTCTATGTAGAGAGAGAGAGCGAGAGAGAAGATATTTGGCAAACAATGATACAATACAAGTTGTGGAAACGAATCATGAGGTTAGGTTATATACTATAATTCTAAGTTTCATCACAGGAATCAGATAGCTGGCTAGGTTGGTGGACGTGGACCTGACTAATTATGGACCATCATCAACTATCGATCCACAATTGTATTGTAAATCATAGAAGGGAACGATGGGCCAATTGTTGATTCGACATGGAACTTCTTTGTGGGCTAAGAGTTGGGCTCACACGAAGTCCTGCTCTTCACGTAAAAAACCACCCTTTATACTTTTCATAAAATCCAACTTAAAAATTGGTAACTCCATTAGGTTTTTCACAATGATAGAAAAACATAAAAATATATTCGATTTCGATTAGTCGTTTTGACATGATAGCTTGATCTGTCTAAAAAAAAAAAAAAAATTCTTGTCGTTTTACCCACCAAGCGAAGAAGAGAAGGAAAAAAAAAAAAAATCCAAAGAAAGAAAAAAATCAAACAGTTCAAAAAATAATTAATAACATATATAATAATTATTTTATAAATTCATTTGAAAAAAATAAACATATAAAAAAATTATATATGAATTCATCAAAAGTAATATGATATATTATGAATATTTTTATATTTCTTTAATTTTTTTTATATTTTTTTATTTGAAAGAGTTATGAAATAATTATTGAAGGTAATGTTATTTAAAATAAATGTATGAAATAATTATTGGGTATAGCATTAGTTATTGTGAAAGTTTTCCAAAAAAAGGATATGATAGAATAGGGTAGGATTAGGACATGACGTGATAGGTTCGGACATTGAGCAGACGTATGATTGAGGGTATCTATAGCGAGAGGGGCACGCTGACCAAGGCAAGGCAATTAGGCAAGAAGATTATTTTTTGATCTGGCTGAACCTTCTTCTCTCTTTCCTTCTTAAGTGCTTTCTTGGCAATTAAGATGACATGGTTTAATTTCGTAATTATGTTTAGACTTAAGTGCCGGTCAACACAACCACGTCGTATTCCTTAGTTGCCTTTCTTTCTATTCGTGTGTGCGTGGAACATACGATGAGACACAAGTACATCGTCATCACCATTAACCATCACACTTTTCTAAGTTGTTGATAGAATACGTGGATATATTTTTCTTTTAAGCATGAATCTTCCGTTGTACAGAGAAACATTTGGACTGGAAATTACGGTACTCTCAACAAATAGAAAGAAAGAATCCCCCTAACGCCATCGCCCTCTCAACTGTCATCTGCTGCTTCTGCTTTACACTCTCTCTCTCTCAACCGCTGCTTTCTAAAGTAAGGTATTTACTACTGATTTCAATTGCTTTCTCAGTTCTGCTATCTGTTTATCTATCCATTTCTATTTGCCTAATTGCCAGCTAGTTGTAGCTACCAGCTAGCGTTTCTTATTTTTTCTCTTTCATCTTTCTCGCAATACCTTGGATACACACATATGTATGTCTGTAGTTGTAACTTAAATCATCATCTTTTATATATATATATAGAGGGGGAGAGAGAGAGAGAGAGAGAGAGGAGAGAAATTTTATACTATTCAAGTACTCTGTAGAGAGATATTGAAAAAAAAAGGAAATAGAAAAGAAAAAATGAAAAAAAATTGAACTAAGTATAAATCTTTTTATTTTCGGATGTGATTTTTTTTTTTTTTTATATATATATATATATATATATGTCTATTTCTGTCTTTAAAAATAAATCTATGTAGTAATTATTATATAGTGTTATCTTGAATATTATAAAATTTCTTGACACGAATTTCTTTGTGTGACGCTAATAATAATATTTTTAATTTTGGAAATTACAACAAACAACACTCTTATAATTCACTAATCACTACTTCTCAAACCTGTACATTTGATGTTTAATTTCCCCTTATATATGTGTGTGTGAGATTTATTTATTTATATTTATTTAATGATCTTCACCGTGGCACCATGCGTCAATTTCTATCAACTATAATGCGCGCGCCTTTCATCAAATGCCATTAATTTTAACATTTCGCTTCGATAATGTTTATTTTACTACTACTGCTTCATTACGAATTTTGTTGTCAATTGCTGCTTGGTTATCACCTTTGATTTTTTGAACTGTATATATGCAGGGTAACCAACTTGTAACCTATGGCTGCTATCCCAACTGCTGAAGCTTGCGACTCCAATGCACTACTTTTGGCAACTGGTGACTTGCGAGTTCTGTACCCCATTTTCAAGATATATGGCCAGAGCCGAGCATTCTCAGGCCCCGTTGCCACTCTCAAGGTGTTTGAGGACAATGTGTTGGTCAGGGAGCTTCTAGAAACCAAAGGCGAAGGGAGAGTTCTTGTTATTGATGGAGGGGGAAGCATGAGGTGTGCTTTGGTTGGAGGGAACCTGGGACAGTTGGCTCAAAATATGGGGTGGGCTGGTATTCTAGTCGATGGTTGCGTAAGAGATGTAGATGAGATTAATGGGTGTGATATAGGGGTCAGAGCCTTGGGATCGCATCCTATGAAATCCAACAAAAAGGGTGTTGGTGAGAAGCATGGTCCGGTACACATTGGAGGAACCTTGATTCTTGATGGGGAATGGCTATATGCAGACAGTGATGGCATTCTCATCTCAAAATGCGAACTGTCTCTTTGAGTTGAGCCTTACGAACAATATGACATGTTCGTGAAGCTTGTAAGAGGGCAGGCAGGGCAGGATTCTCAGCCACTCCTATCCTAACAGTTCAAGTTGCTAGGATGTCCTAAGGGCTAGGGGAAAATGTTTCTTCTCCATTATTATATGTGAGCATTGTTTCCATCAAATAAACTTCGTTTGGGAATAAATTTCCCACTAAACAAAAATAACGGTGAACTATTCTTTGTTTTGTATCTTGAAAATGCAATTGTATTATTATTATTTTCAAGGTAAAATGTTGCTGTGGCGTATTTTGAGTTGTGAAGTAGCAAGGCAAAGTTGTAATGTATGTTTGGTTTGTTTATGCTGATAAACAGGGTTTAGTCCAGGGACTACCAAATAAAAGCTTAATCATAAACGGGTATCTTCATCCTTCATGGATGGCAATGTTATAAAGATTCTATAATGGTGAAAGCAAAAAAGAAGTACCCATGGCCATGGAATTAGCAGCGGGCTTATAGCTTAAACTTTTGTGAAGCCGGAGAGGCTTGGGATACATGATTTGAAAGGGCCCAAAAAGGCCCAAGCAAGCACGGGATGAGCAAATATATTAATTACAAGCATCCAGCTGATGGATGGATGTTCTTTTGATGGATTGTTCCTAGAGAAAGAGAAAGAGTTGGTTTTGATGATGATGGAGAAATTGCCAAGCAATTTGATAAGCGAAGAGATACTGAGAAAAAGCTTGGATTTTGAGACACTGTGTACGGTGGCTTGTGTCAGCAAATCCCTGCGTTTCGCCGTGGACACCCAGGTCCTTCCTTTCCTGTCTTCTCTCGATCTCTCCATTGTATCTATAGATGCACACGCTCTTTATCTCATTCTGAGCCGGTTTAAGAGCCTTGATACACTGACCCTTAATTGCCAACGCCTCAATGATTCCTCCCTCATCCCTTTTTTGGCTCCACAAATCCAACAGCTCAATCTTTCTTGCTGCTCTTTACTCTCTCCTTCCTTTCTTCATTTTATAGGAGCTAACTGCCCCTTTCTCAGGTAAATAAAGCATCCTTTTGTCTCTTTTAACATTATTACAATGAATTATTTGTAGATAATGTTAATTAGTAACTGATTAAAGTGATGATGGTCTTATTTTGTCTCACCCTTTACTGGTTTTGATCTCATGGAGCAAATTCTTAAAGAGTTCCAAGTTCTGGTTCAAAGTTTTGTTTTTTGTCAGTTAATCAACTACTAATTGCTGATTAAAGGGAATAATTCAGCTAGTGGTCTATCTTATGGAGCCAATTCTGTATTTTCTTTTTGGGTTGTCAGGGTGCTTACGGTGGAATTGGCAGACCAGCTTTCACCTCTTTTATTCCGAAAGAATGTTGCCTACATGCTTAATAAGTGCCAGTATTTGGAGGTAAAATTGTTTCAAATCTTTCATTCCATTTGCATTTATTTAATGCTCCAAAATTGTTCTATTTTCACATGAGAATGTATAGTTTGCCCGTCGGCTGAGTTTTTTTTCTTTTCTAATTACAGTGTCTCTCTATAAAGATCAAAGGAACAGAAGTTGATGCGAATGCTCTCCGGTCCATTGAATTCTCCCTGCCACGAAGTATCAAATTTCTTAAGTTAAAACCGGTGCTTGAGCATAATGCAATCCAGCTCACAAACGAACTCAGATCTTCTGGAAACTTTTCATCAACAGATGATGTCGGCATTTCCATCTCACCGTCGTCCTCTGGTTTTGCATTGCAGTGCTTGTCACTTCTCTTAGATGTGATATCGGACAGGCTGCTTGTAATGATAACCAGCTCTCTTCCTCTTCTAGTAGAGCTGCATCTCGAAGATAGACCAGATAAGGAACCATTACCTCACCTTGATTTGACCAACCGTGGGCTTCAGTTCTTAGGCTCTTGTCATCGTCTGACTGGCCTCTCTCTTATACGTAGTAGGCAGAACTACCAAGGATCATTTAAAAGAATAAACGATATGGGGATGTTTCTGCTTTCTGAGAGCTGCAAAGCTTTGGAGTCAGTGAGGTTCGGTGGATTCTCTAAAGTTAGTGATGCTGGCTTTGCATCATTGCTGCACTCCTGCCAGGAGCTAAAGAAATTTGAAGTTCGCAGTACCTTGTTATTGTCAGACTTGGCCTTTCATGATCTCGTTGAAGCCTCATGTAACCTAGTTGAAGTGAGATTGCTGTCGTGCGGACTCATAACTAGTGAAACTGTTAAGAAACTGGCCTCTTCTAGGAGCTTGGAGTTGCTTGACCTTCGTGGCTGCAAGAGTGTAGCAGATTCTTGCCTGAGCTCCATTTTATGCCTTCAAAGATTGGCAACATTGAACCTTACAGGAGCCGATATTACTGATAGTGGTTTATCCGTTATTGGTCAGGGGAACACACCCATCTCACATTTGTGTCTTAGAGGCTGTAAGAGGATAACTGACAAAGGAATCTCTTTTTTGCTGTGTGGTGGTGGGGCAATTGCTCAAACATTGTCAGCACTGGATTTAGGTTACATGCCAGGTATATCAGACAATGGCATTCTTACTATCGCTACCTTTGGTAGAGAGATCACCGAATTGTGTGTTAGGAATTGCTTTTATCTGACTGATCTGTCAGTGCAAGCGCTGGCTACAAAGAGAAGCTCACAAGACAGAAGCAAACAACTTTGCCGAGTTGATCTGTTTAACTGTATTGGGTTATCTGCTGATGCACTGAAACTTCTAAGGAAGCCTTTGTTTCGTGGACTGCGTTGGCTTGGTATTGGGCAAACTCGTTTAGCAAGTAAAGGGGATGCTGTGATAACTGAAATTCATAGGGAACGACCGTGGCTGACTTTGTGTTTGGATGGATGTGAAATGGGATGTCATGATGGATGGCAGTTCCATACTCCATAAAGCAGAGTACCGTTGATTTGTTTGGACTTCATCTACATGTGGATTCATTTAAGACAACCCATAGAATGAAAATTGGTAGCTTGATTTTGCAATTTGGAGTTTAAAGGTGATACCTTTCTTGTTATGATTTTGAAGTTGATTTAAATTAGGAACATTTAATTTGTCACTTTTGAAGCTCTCAAAAGACAGGTATCTAAAACAAGAAATGTGGAGACAGTACAGTTGATTGGATTGAAACAAGCTAGATAGAAGATAACGATGTCCACATGAAATTTGGTCGAACTAAAATCTGAGTGTCTTCTAACAATTTATAATTGCTCTGGTTGCTGAGTCAAGCTGTGTTGTGTTGTTTCATGCTTGTAAACTTTCTGTTGCATTTGTTTAGTTGTTAGAGCTGCATGCTTCTAAGCAGTGGTTTTCTTCCTTCTTTTCTGTTTCTTAATCGCATATTCCTGCTCGTAGTAGGTCTCATTCATCAAAAATAAAAATAAATAAAAGTAGAGGGGAGGGGGCATTTACATTGAGAACCTCAATTAGCAAATTCAGTGACCAAACTTTGTGCGCAAACAAATTTGCATTTTGCTAATCATTTGCCTTATTTTGGTATTGTTTGTGCGCAAACAAATTTGCATTTTACTAATCATTTGCCTTATTAGCCCTTCGTAATGTAACCTATAAGATCCTTACGAAAGTTTTGGTCTAGCGAATTCGTCCAATGCGAATGCTGGGCTAGTTAATTATTCATTTCAAAGTGCTTTTATCTCTAGGCATACAGGAACTTATCGTGCTAACTTAAGAACTAATGCACACTATTTGACGGTCTAAGAATAAGTTGGGTTCTTTGATCGTTGTTGATCTGGTTAAGAATGATAGAGTTGAATGACATTTTCTACAACAGAACTTGGAGGATTTTGGGTTTCCCTCTAAGCATGTGCATGTCATCATGTCTTGTATTACTAATTCTTCCTTGTCAATTCTTTGGAATGGTTCAAGTTGTTGAGCTCTCGTCCTTTGCAGGGTATTCATCAAGAAGATCCTGTTTCTCCTTATCTGTTCATGATGTGTATGTGTATGGAAAAGTTATCGTTTCTTATTGATAGCAAAGTTCCGACAGGTTTATGGCGACCTATCCGTGTTTCACGTGGAGGTGTGACCATCTCTCACCTTATATTTGCTGATGATATGTGTGATATTGTTCATTAATGCCTCCCGTAACTTGTAGGGTTGTTTTGAATACTATATATGGATCGATTATGTGCTAATTCAGGGATGGTGGCCAATGATCTAAGAACAAGTGTTTTTATCTCTCCTCGCACTTCACGAAGGCAAAAAGAAGAACTAAAGAGACGATTGAACTTCACTTTTACTATTTGGAAAATTTTATGGATGTGCCTTTACTTGTGAAGAAAAGCAAGAATTCCTTCAAACATGCACATCATTGAGAAGAATCATGATCCTCTAGCGGGCTGAAAATCGAAGCTCTTGACTGATGAGGCAGGTCTGTACTCTAATTCAGTCAATTATTTTTACCATTCCTCTCTATACCAAGCAATTTGTATGCCTACCTTCAGCTATATGCAATGAGGTTGATAGATTTGGAAGGAGTTTCTTATGGGGATCCTTAGATGAAAGCATCGGGATTCATTTGGTGAGTTGGGGAGCTGCTACTGCCCCTCTAAAAAGAGGTGGATTGGGACTTCAGATGACAAAGTGATATTATATGCAATGAGGTTGATAAATATAGCTGAAGAAATGGGGCTGAGAAATTATTCAGAGGGTGGAGAAGCCTTTGGTCCGTGTGCTATGCCACAATTATTTACGTAGAGAGTCACTTATGGTTCATCATCCTTCTCAGATATATATAGCTTCTCCGATCTGGAAGGCTATTTGCAAATCTTTTTCATATTTAAGGATGGATATATATTTGGAAAATCAACAATAGACTACAAATTTCCCCTTGGTTTGATAGATGGATGTCTTTTGTTCTGTTTGCGATATCATTCGTCGGATATTGCTCATGAGAAGAGAGGACTGTTGGCAGCTGACATTATTTCTGAGTATGGTAGTTGGGATATCTCCCGTCTTTGTACTCTTATTCCTGTTGGTATCTCTAATGGATACTCCTTTACGGTGTGTTAGCATTTGATAACCCTCTTGCAAAACTCACTTAATATTAGTACTGATGGTAGTTTTTCTAATCGTACAAGTATAAAATATTCGTGACTATCAAAGTGCTTGGAAGGTATAATAATACTGGTTGAAATGAAGGCTATCAGACACAGACTAATTCTTGCTTGAGATTTTGGGTATAGAAAGGTAATCGCTAGACTGACTCCAAAAAGGCAGTTAATGCTATAAATAAGGGAGTATTGATTACGGACTCCTACTACAACATCGTTATTAATATTCGTTGCTTATGTCAACATCAGTGGGCTGTTTCTTCCAAACCACAACCGTGAAATTGACTCTGACAATGATAACCCCCTTCAGGGCTTGCTGTTGTTCTAACCTCTAGTCAATGACGCTACTGGCACGCCTCTTTCTTCTTTTCCATTGTACCAAAAAAACCAAACTCTATATATGGAAACCACATCTTTCTACGCCCTAGACTCATTAATAATTGAATCAAAACTGAAATAGCAAAATGTGGATACCCTATAGAAATGAGAAGCAAAGAAAAATCTGATAGATTTATATATATATATTTTTACTGAATGTTTAATTTTCTGGCAAATATAATTCCTATGCTTCTATGTGCTATGCACATGAAAACAAAACGGCATCACTCAATTCTTAAATGGTTACAAAGTCTGAAAAAACTGCCACGAGAGTACGTAGCTTTCAGATGAAAGCAGTTCGTCCACCCCTTCGACTGTGCCTGTCATAGGCAGTGTTGAATTTGTCCACTAGCTCATTCATTGTGCTGGAGAGAAGGGAAGGAAGAGGGAAAAATGTTGGGTTAAATCAAAGACGAAGATACAGTCATGACACATCAAGTGAAAAATGAATACATAACAATATGACCTTTAAATTCGTTAACTGCAATATCTGCATATATGGTCATATGAAAGCTTCATATATGTGCATATGCACGTTCTAGGGAGACAAATGGATACTAGAAGCCAATCCTAACATAATATGCTTGCACTAGGGATTTGAGTTAACAGGTCCTATGTTAACCATATGCAGCTGTACTAAGAAGTTTTTGCTAAATACAAGATCAGTGCAGTCTCTACTTTCATTTCTTTTTCTTGTTAAAGTTTTAATAATGAAAGTAGCTTAGGAGTTTGTAAGGTCAGAAGTCCTTCACTATCTAGAATAGCATGATTAATCAAGCCATGCTATTGCCGTTCCTTGTGCTACATAGTCCCTAATTCTTTAAAAGGAAGGGGCAACAGCTTGATAACATGGTCAAAACCTTGGCTTGCCCCCACAACCTTGCCCCTTCAAGTCTTCAGAGCAGCCACTTGAAGCAAAGAACGCTCAAGGGCAGGAGCGTGTCTAAATTCTCCTCCTGGAATTCCACCTCAGTGAAACCACATAGTTGCCTTCTTTTTTTTTTTTTTTTTTCATTCTCAATTTATTAATACAAAACAGCAGAATCTTTTAAATAAAAAACACAAGACAGATTTAAATCACAGAAAAGAACACCAATATATCATACCTTGCACAGTTGGTGAACATGGCCAGGTAAGCGATCAATAGGGTGTCATTGTATTCCTGTAAAAAAATTTGAAAATCAAATCCATAGGATGAAAATGATTTCATAGTCATAATAGCATTCTCATAATGTCGTAAGGGATTCTGAATTTGGAAAGCAAAAATGGTAAGGTACAGAATACAGCATATATTTCAAGTGCAAGTGATTACGTCTGTGTATAAATGGATCATGTCCATATAGTTTCATGTGCAAATTAACACTCTACCATGATATTGACAAGCATTTCAAGATTTATGGTACAACTTAATTGGAAAAAAAAAAAAAATTTACTCTTATTGCTATAATCAACAAGACCAGTCTGGAACCGAAGAAAGATATCATTGGTTCATTACCCATCCTTTCACCATTAACCCTCATTTACTCGTGATCAAACTTCACTGGTACAGTTGCCCATATAATCACCAATAGCTCTCTTTATATAGATAAAAGTTAGGTTTGACCATGGCCTTGAAGGTTAAAGACTGACTGAGAGGATTATGTAAGATTTGATTAGATTAAGCCACACTAGATACCTGAAAGCCTTTGACTGCCTCGTTTTACAGGATAAATAAATCACATCTTTTTATAGGAAAAACTCTCCTCCGCTTTACTCAACAGAGAATGTCATATTTTTTCACAAAAAGGAAAAGAAAAGAAAAAGAGATGCATATATTTGTTAATCCCTAACTTATACTAAGCCAGTCTAGGTTTGAAGGTAGCATTTTAGATGGAAAAGCCTCGGATGCCCACTTCTACAGATGGCTACAAGACCAGTATCACAGAAGACACGATAATTTAAAAGAAACGGACAGCACTCACCATCAAGAAATCATCTTGAAATTTTTCTGATTCAATGGCCGGCAATCTTCTTAAAAGACTCGATACTTGTCTCAACAATGAGTTCTCACAAGGAATTTCACCTGCATTCAGGGATGGAAATGTAATTAATCTCAGCTTTGAAACCGTCGTTGCCTGCTTCTCAAAAGCCGAATACATGTGCTTCAAGCTAATAGACCTCTGCCTCTTTTTCATTTTTTTTTCTTTCAATTATGACAGGTAGTCTAATTACCAACACCAATTTTGCTTAAAATTGAAATGCTCCCTTGATCAGGTTTCCATAACATTTGACACAAAGGCCAATGGCGACTAATAATGCATTGATTAGAGTAGAATAAAAAAGAACTAGTATCATTGAAAAGATGCAAAGTAGTGATATAGGACCTTGAAGACTCCAATCTACTTGATATTGATAACTCTGCTTTGGATATTTCTTTTAGGTGCAGATTGAACTCTTTTTTAAGAAAAAGAAATCCTTTTTGATAAATAGTTCAAACTCAACTCCATCCAGCAAAAAAGATAAAAAGGGCAGACTTCTTAACTGAAGGAGTATTATGAAGCATAAAGTATCTGTCTTCACAATTACAATAAAAGGGCATCATGCTTTATGATTAGGAGGGGAGTTGTCAAGTGTTATTATTTTTTATTTTATTTTTTTTTTTTCAAATTTGAGATATATAATCTGCAAATATGTGGAAGATTTTGATGTCATTAAATGTACAGGCTTTCTTTTTGTGTGTTTCTTTTCTCAGAGAAAACGAGGTACTCTGCCACTATTTGTATGGAATCGAATGCACTTTTCATCATAAAGAAAAGTTTATACCTTTCTGCATTGCGACAAGGTAGTGATGAAGCACTCTGATTCTGCTATTCAACATCTTGATAGCACTATGTATGCCTGTAAGGTGAGCAGCCACTGGAGGAGGGAAAACCAAAACTGTTAACAAGTACTGAAAGAAAAGAACGAAGATAAAGATTAAAGAATTAGGGAGAGCCAGTAGTTACATTGAGTTGCAGCAGAACCTCCATCAGATGGCTTAAGGTGTGCAACATGATCAACCGAAATCCGTTCAGCTTCCACTGTCTTCAAACCCAGAAAAGGGCAGTTCAATAAAGTAGGTAATAGAAATACTAACGGGTGACAATAAAAGAAAGATAACAAACCTCAATGGTGTAACTTGAACGAACAAAAATAAGCTGTGGAATTCCATCAATGACATGCAGCTCTGAAGTGATAATAAAAACTCAATGAGGGAACAATGTAATAGCAAATTCAAATTATAGAACACTGCTTGAATGCAAAATTCATCTCAGTAACGGCAATCAATCTATCACCTAGAGGTTAGGTTGCATACCACTCTCGTAAATAGTGACAGGCAAATCCTTCTGAGCAGGATTGATAGAGGGATTGAGTAGAACATAAACAGGACTTTCATTAATATCCATCAACTGAAAAAAAAAAAAAACAGAGAATTTATCGAAATGACATGATTTGCATGGATTGAATATATATATATATATATATATATAGGGGGGGGGGGGGGGGAGAGAGAGAGAGAGAGAAGAAGAAGAAGAAGAAGAAGAAGAAAACATACAGCTTTGTGAATATGCATATCAGATTCCTCAGCATCACTCCCAGTAGAGTACCATCCCAATATGTAAAAGTGAGGGAATACCTTCTTATCTGTTGTTCACGCCAACAATCAATCAAACGATAATTCACAATGGAGCTATTAAACCCTAATTTATAAAAACTTAGGATTTTTTTTTTATAGAAAATTAACTAAAGAAGGAGAATAAATTTTAATGTTTTAAATAAACAAACAAATAAATAAATAAAGAAAAAAGAGGAAGTATAGGTAATATTATACAGAGCTCTTGCTTCTTTTCGAGGAAGGCGCGGTCGAGGGAGTGAGTGGCAGGATCGTAAAGAAGCTCGAAGCTGTTGAAGATCTCGACGGTGCGTCCTCTCTGTACTCCAATCACGCAACCGTATACTCTAGGAGGTGAAGAAGCAGCGCCTCCATCGCCGCTGCCGCCGCCGTTGTTCTGAGACTTAACACGAGTGTAGTGATCGGATATGTTGACAATTACAAGCGGATGTAGCTTGAAAGTCAATCCGCTGCTCGACGACGACGCCATTATAGTAGTATTAGTCCTTTTTCCTTCCTCTCAATCTCTTTCTGTTGTGCGATCGCGTGCTGCGTGAATGTTTAGTGAGATCAAGGGATATTGGGGGTTTTAGATTTTCCCTTGTTTTCTTTTCTATGGGGGAATCAATCAGTTAATTTGGGCTTGGCATTTTATAATTTATTATTATATTATTTATCGCCTCCAAGATTCTTGTATTCACTATTAGTCCTTATATTTTAACAAAATTATTTAATTAATTCTTTTAGTTCAAGATTTATATATTTAATCCTCGTGTTTTACTCCTTGAGTGTCCTTATCTAACTTTATTATATGTTCATATCCATTGCCCCTAAAAAAATGTTATTTTTCTCAACACAGAGCAAGTATTTTTTTTTTTTTTATTGGGAGGTTTAAGAAGTCTTATAAAGCTACAAAAACATATGATTAACTATCACAATACTTTTTGATGATAATAAAATAAAATAAAATAAATGACTTAATAATTATGTACAATAAATAATTATTTTTAAAAAGTGAGAATCATAATTAGTAATTTAATTGAGCTTTGCATCGAGTGGAAATATGTTTTCAAAATGGATTCAATTTATTATTTGTTTAGATTGAGGAGTTACTCTTTTTTTTTTCCTGATAAATGATTTAGAAGATTTAAAATTTTTATTTTAAACTCCGTCACTATTATTTTTCATTTATTTAAGAAAATAAAAGAAGGAAAAATAGGGGTACTTGTTGAACATGGCGGAGCACTTAGAGGTAAGCACTATTCGGTTAAAATTGAAAACCAAATGGAATTAGTAATTTCGTTTCGATTTTGTATAAAAAATTTGAAAAAAAAATTATTTGGGTTCAGTTTGTTTTTTTTTTTTTAAATCGGTTTTCATATAAAGTCGAATTAGTGTTTTTTTTAAACACACATCAAAGATTCATAACAGAACTACTTTATTAAGAATTAAACTTATGATCTTTTGTAAGAAAATACTACCATTAGATTACAAATTCTTTGATACCGAATTAGTTAAGAATAAGCACTATTCATACTGTTGTATCTAAATTTTTGATAGATAAAATACTACTAAGAATTTAACCGTAGCATTTTTTAATGATTTTTTTACTAAAAATTCAATTCAAATTATTAGCATTCTTTGAAAAAAAAAACAAAAAAGTGATTTTTCAGTTTGTTTAAAGAAAATTCAAAATTCAGAAGAAAAAAGAAAAAATGCTTTTTAATAAAAAATTGGATAAAAAAATTTGATTTTTTTAATTAAAAACAGAATCTCAACTTGATTTGATTTCGAATTTTATTTTAATCAATTTAAAAAAAAAAAAAAACACCAAACAACCAATGATCACCGTTGAAGAACTGGTACGCCTAAAAGCGTGTGCAGCAGCAAAAATACACATCAGTAAAATTAAATTACAGAAGAGAAGAGAAGGCCGGGATTATTTATTTTAAGTAGAAGTTGTATTTTTTTTTCGTTTATATATGGTGGGACATTGTTTATGGTGATTATTTAATGAGATAAGACTTAAGAGCGCATAAAAAAAATAAAATTAAATAACGCAGAAAAATCTCATCTCGTATTGTATCGTATCGTCGTTGTCACTGTCATCCTTTTTGTCTGGGTTCGGGATTTACTTGATTGTATTTACCCAGTACAACGTCCGTCATCATTTCTCAACAACCAATCCATCCATCCATTAATCCTCCTCTACTCACCCCATCATCAAATTCTATTCAATTGCATTATCATTTCCATAAATATATTACTCTTCAAAATCAAAAGAAGCAGAAGAAGATGGCGATGCGGGAGCTAGTAACTGGAGGAGCAGCTTGTGCGGTTCCAGGTTCTTCTTCTTCATCTAATCCTTTCGGTGCTCTCGCCAACGCTCTTATCGGTTCCTCTTCCAAGACTCAGGTTTTCTTCTTTTTTTTTCAGTTCCTCTTTTTTCAATAATACTCTTTACCCTTTTCCTTTTCTATCAATTCATCTTCCTTTTCTCCTAGACTAGACTATCTGCTTCTGCGCTTTTTTTTCTCTCTAAAGTTTCTTTTCTTTTTTTGGCTGTTGAGTTAATTAGTTGAAAGCTAATAGTACTCATTTTCGGAGATTTGACTTTTTTTCCCTAAAAAAAAAAAAAAAAAAACAGGAAAGGCTAAAGGAAATCCCGTCCTCCACAACCACAGCTACAGAGCCTCCGTTCTATCAGGATGCCACTGCTGAGGGCCGCTTGAGAGGACTCCCGGGAGCTGAATTTGATCACTCCTTTTCCCATCATCCCACTCCTCAGGTCTCTTCTTCTTCTTGTTTAATTTATGGAAAATTAAAAAAAGAAAGTCTCTAACTTCGCTTCATAAGTCTGATAATTTGTTCTTCTGGGTTTAGGGTTCAGAATTTCTTCGTGGCTTTCGCACTGCTGATCAGAATGGATTGGCCGATGCATGGGATGAGATTCAGCGCTCTGGTCCTCCTCCTCCTCCTCCTGCTCTATTGGATCACCGCATACCTCCTCCTCAGCTTCAACCAACATTGGACGGTAACTACTTACCTGTTACTGGTAGTTAAATAATAAAGTTCTTTCTACAAAGTTGGAAGCCTGAAATGATTCATAGTAGTCTAGATGATGAGCTGCTAGTAGCTAACAAGTTGTACTGTGATGGATAATCAAATTCTTAAGGGAAAATTATTATTTTCATTAAACTCAGTGCATCCTAGGCTGTTGAAGTAGAATACCGTGTGAGTGATTCAAAGTAAATGGGCAAGGATAGAGGAGTCGAAGTTTCAAAACCTGTTTATCTATTGCTACTTTTGCATATCAATATAACATCAGGAAAGCCTTCGAAATGGATGCCATTGTGATTAAGGCGTCGAAGTAAAATGTAGGATTTCATGATTTCATTTACTCGAATTATTGGGAACTAAAGTTAGAATCTAAAGGATACTTTCACAAGGATGCCACAGCTGTCTTCCTTTTGAGTCATTTTTTAAAAGGTTATCCTTGATGTAGGAACTGCTATGTGACCCCACGCTTGCTCTGACAACACTTAGAGAAGACAACAGTAACACGAGAAGAAGCATTTCTACATTGAATGAAATCTTCAAGAAGTTTGCATTTACAATTAACTTGTTTCTGTGTTTTCACAATTTTTGATGTCTAGTACCAGCCAAACACTGTAGGAGCTATTTATTTACCAAGAACTACCAATAAATGTTTCATGAGCATGTCTTTTCTGTGTATGTTTTCTACCTTTCATATCGCAGGACCACCCCAAAGAGTGTTGTCAAACTTTTTGCACTCCTTTGTGGGCACTAGCCATGGTGGAATTCCATTTCGTCCTTCTCCACTGCCTGTGTTAGGATTGTCTGAAGGTGACAAACAATGTATACGTGACCGTAGCAGCATAATGGCCCGGCATTTTTTTGCTGACAAGAGTGAAGATTTTATCAATGCACAGGTCTGTTGCTGTTTCTTTGTCCAATGAGAGCTGTGCTATTACTAGCTTCACTTCCAATTGTCATTTTGCTTTAACATCAATTCTGATCGTGTTAGCAAATCTGCAATTATACTTTGACTATGTTGCTTCTGTAGGTGAATGCACTTTTGTCTTCGTTAGATATTGATGGTGATATGCGGGCCAAGGGACCTTTACCTGGGAGGTTTCGAGAGCTAGAGGATTACTGGAACGAGTCTCAAGGTGCTCTGAGACCTGGTCCTCCTCAAGCTGATGGATGGGTTGCAGAATTTAGCCAACACAGAATAGACCATGGTGATCCTAATGCTTGGGCTCACTCATTTGAACAGCAGCATGGTGCTAATGGTTGGGCATCTGAGTTTGAGCAGGTAATAAGGGATTACAAAGATAGTGAAAATATAGGGTTACTTTACACACCAATGAATTTAACCTTATTGCCATTTTCTGATTCTGGCAACTAGTGTCAATCACTTCCTACTCATACTGCATTCACTCATTATTTTCTTATACTTTGTCCTTTTCTTTTAATTGTAAAAACTGTGATTTTATGATTTGCTGCTCATTACCTCTTTAATTATTATTATTTTTTTTAATTTTTTCCTTTTTGTGAAAAACTTATGCAATAAAAACATTGCTTTTGGCTATTCTGTTCTTCATTTTCCTTAGTTGCTGATTCTTTGCACCACTGTAATCTTCACGATTATATTGTTATGCAGTATTTTATCCCTTCCCCTTTGTTAATCATGATGTATGTAGTCATGACTTTTCTTCTATTTTATAGACTAGTTACTGCCTTTATCCTGTTATTGTAATTCTTGTATCACTGTACATATTATTGGATATGGCACTGGCATGCAATTTATTTATCTTGTTTTTGTTGGTTTTAGGAACAACGGTTGGTCTCAGCAGCAGATCAAATGGGAGGTGCAAATATCTCAAACTTAGCTGCAAGGGAGCAGACTCGTATGCTTGCACACACACTAGCTCAAAACAATGATCCCAAATTTCAGGTTCATATGCTTTACTATAGAATAATCTTTTTCACATGGTTTGCAAGTTCTTTCATGGCCCCAGATCTGGTTTTTGCATGGGATAGTATACAGTATGAGCTACTCACCATGTGGGAATACGAACAGTTTTGGATTAAGGGCCTAACTTTTTGAACAAGGCCTAGGATTGATATTATGATAAGCATACCTGGTCTTTTCACAAAATTGGCCAAAATATACGGAACGTATTAACAGTGATGTGTCATGACAAAAACCTGAAACATACTAGCATTGCACAATAAAGGCTTGATTTGTTATTTATTTGTCCTTTCATTTTTTTATTGTATTGCTAATTATGCTGAAATATTAGTTATGTGATGAGCCATGCAGAATTCTAAGTTTCTTCAATTCGTCTCAAAGATGAGTCGTGGTGAACTTATTATTGATGATAATCAAGTCAAGCCAGCTGCATTGTCTTCCCCAGGGGATTGGGCAACAGAATATCAGCAACAATATACTGGGGGTCCGTCTTGGGCTGACGAATATGCACGTGATCAGGCAAGTGAAGATCTTTTGCAAGCATGATTACGAATTTGTTGTTCTGCTTTTTGACACCAAATTAAGCTCATAAAAAGAAGAAGAAGAAGAAGAAGAAGCGATGGGGACCTTTTTCTACTTCGTGTTCTTTTTGCCTTTACAGGGCAGAATTGTGAATAGAGGAATTTGTGGAGCAAAACTCAAGTAGTTGGAACAGAATAGAGTAGTTATCTATGTGAATGTACCATATCTTTGCAGCTATTCTTTCACTTTTGAGTGGCTCAAATTCTATAATTGATAGATATGGTTGATGTGCCATGATCTCCTTTTCTTTTCATTTCTTTAAACAAGCTGCAAGTTATTTTTGTCCATTTCAGTTTGCCTCTGTTTAATAAATTTTCCTATCTAATTTGAGTGTTTTCAGCTTTCTCATGGACCTGATCAATGGGCAAAAGAGTTTGCTACTGAAAGAGAGCAAAGTGGGCCCGTTGATGATCAGTGGGTAAATGAATTCTCAAAGTTGCATGTTGATGACTGGGCAGACGAATTTGGACGGCAGGTTGGTGAAGGGGCTTTTGGGGATGGCTCAGCTGATAGTTGGGCAGATGCGTATGATGAGTGAGTACAATAGTCATAATTGAAAGATTTATTTCTTACTTGGGTAAATTAAATATTACTCAAAATTAACTGTATGTATCATATTGAATTTCTTAGGTTGTGCTTGTGTTTCAACTCCTTTCCAATATTTCAGTCTTGCTGGTTATACTGTTCATCTGTTTGAAATTCTCCTGATGCAATTCTAGAATGGACAGTGATATTTAATCTAGTGTCTAGTGGTGTATGGTTCTTCTTTATGTACTGAGAAGCTGTCTAGGATCTAGCATCACAGTTTTGAGTGTTGAAACTGGTTATGTTTCTTCGCTCTCTTTTAAATTGATTCCTTCATGGTGCATCCAGTCTACTGTTTAAAAGCATTTCAACTAGTGTCCACATTGAACACTGATTTTTTTTTTCTCTTTTTTATCATTATAACTTGTCAAGTTCTGCATAATTTTAGTAATCTTTTTCCCAGATGAGTTGCAAGTAAGCTCCATTTCTTTCTTGGAAGTATTAGTTTGGGGCTGCACTTGGTAATTTGTTTTAGTTATAATTGTAGTAATTAAAGGTAACAGTTATTAGCAAGAATCATAAATGGTTAAATCAAGAATGAAATCGACAAGTCATCTTTGCATCATGCCTTCTTTTTCTTTGTATTCTTGTTTTCTTTTAACCATGTCATTTTCAAGGTCATCATAACCTATATAATGTTCACTATTAACCTAGCAGGTCCAATTCCCTTCCTATCTATTACTTGTTGCTTCAGATTTTTTTGTGATCATCTAGGTTCTTTTGGAAAACTCCATCATAATAAAATCTGATACAGGCACATTTGTAACATTTGTCATTATGCATTGTCCCATTGATAAGGGTTTTGGTTTTTTCTTGCTCATTATTAAGAATACCATTGTCTAGTGCAGTTCAGATGATTTGGTTTATCTTTATGCTGTCAACTGCTAGAGTAATTTCTTTCTCTTCATACATAATATCTCGTAATATCTTACAGGTATCTAAATGAGCAAGTGGTTGCCAAGCAAAAATCAGATGCATCAAGAGGCGTCTATGTGTTTTCAGACATGAATCCATATGTTGGTCACCCGAATCCTTTGAAAGAAGGCCAGGAACTATTTCGCAAGGGGCTTTTGAGTGAAGCGGTGCTTGCTTTAGAGGCTGAAGTTTTGAAAAACCCAGATAATGCTGAAGGTTGGAGGTTGCTTGGAATAGCACATGCAGAGAATGATGATGATCAACAGGTTGGGCAATTTTCTGGGGTTAATTGTTAGATTGAATAGTTTCTAGAGGTTTTGCTCATAGTTGTTTTCTCATTCTCTTCAAGAACTTGGTGAAAGAGTTTCTATTACTTCTGCTTGTTTATAGTTGAATGAGACCTATAATATACTTGGTTCAGTAGTCATGTAAGATTTTATGTTGAGCCAATGAGTTAGTTTGACCTGCTTATATTTGAAATCTTGTTTTCAACAAATTAAAAATTGTATGCTGCAGGGGCTGGAAAATAAAGGTTTGACTACTGATGAATCTCTATATTCTTTTGTTTTGATGCATTAGGTGCCTTATTTATAGCTTATAGTTGGGTCTCAAGTTGAATAATTTGCAAATGAGAATATGTAGGTTAAATTGATTTTATTTTTATTTTTATTTTTTTTGGTATTGTGGATTTAAAAGCTTTGTTTGATCTATATCGTTCGTGAAGGAGTCCTGTTAGCTGTGTTTTCAGTGTAGAATAGTGTATATAAATCTGATTCGATATCAATGCAGGCTATTGCAGCCATGATGCGTGCGCATGAAGCTGACCCTACAAATCTCGAAGTGCTTCTTGCTCTAGGCGTGAGCCATACAAATGGTTGGTCATTGCACCTACAAATATTTGCAACATATGTTTTAGCTTAAATTGATTTAGTATTCTATAGGCATGCTCTTATAAAGAATGTATTATAATAGACCCCTGATGGAATTCTTTTACAACATTATGATTTGTATCAAAACTCTGGAAATAGAGTCTTTATGAATTTAATAGTTCTTGAGGTACTGAATTTAGGTGGGTAAATAACTTGCCTTCAAAATTTCAGAGTTGGAGCAGGCAGCTGCATTGAAATATTTATATGGATGGCTACGACATCATCAAAAGTATGGAACACTTGCCACCCCAGAGCTTTCTGATTCTTTGTATTATGCTGATGTAAGTGTTGCAGAAATACCTTTGTTTCTTTAAATGCTTTTATCTTTTGTTTTAAATATTTTTTTTTCTTTTGGAATTTTTTGCTGACTTTTGGAGAGCTCATTAAAATTTTAACTCCGTGACATGCAGGTTGCTAGATTATTCAATGAAGCTGCTCAGATGTCACCTGAGGATGCTGACGTGCACATAGTCCTTGGTGTCCTGTACAATTTGTCCCGGGAATATGACAAAGCCATTGCTTCTTTCCAGACAGCTTTGAAACTCAAGCCTCAGGATTACTCTCTTTGGAACAAGCTTGGAGCAACACAAGCCAATAGTGTTCAGAGTGCTGATGCAATATTGGCATATCAGCAGGTATACTTCTGTACGACTAAAAGCAGTTGTTTGTTTGGATTAGTTTGGTATAATTTGCCATATCTCAAAGATCAGGCACTTTTTTCCGGAATTAGAAATTATAATGCTATTCCAACAAATCTTACTTAACTTTTGATTCCATGGTCTGAAAGGTTTCCTATATTTTCCCTGTTAAGCTTGTTCTGTTAAATTGAGTGTGTGCATGTTAGGGAGGTTCAATCATGCTTTTCCAAAGGATCAAGGCTTTTTCTTTTCTTTTGTTAAGCTTGTTTCCTATCATTTTTTTTTCGCCAAAAACAGTAATTCTTTTTTGGATAAAAGCCTTCGGTCCTGTATATATTTTCTGGTTGCACAGCATTCTATGCTGTTCTCCCACACTTTCTCGTTTCATGTTTGTGGCTTTCCACATCCTCTTTGTATATTAACAAGCATGATGATAATTGTACATGTTTTAATTAGCTATGGTGATTTTGCATTTTGGTTTGGCGACCATGTTTTCAAAAATTTCTTTTGGTTATCAACTTCTTTTTGTTGTTTCCTGATTATATTTATTTGTTGATATCATCAGGCACTGGATCTGAAGCCTAACTATGTTCGTGCATGGGCAAACATGGGAATCAGTTATGCCAACCAGGTTTTTACCTCTGCTTCATTGTTCACAGCTCCATCATTAGTGCCATCTTTGGCATCTGTTAGACAGTAGTTTCCCTTTACCCAGTTGTTTTTATAGCTTTGATGAGATTAAGTAGTTAATAAAACTTCTCATTTCTCATTTGTTGTTTTTACTTATTTAGAGATTCACACTTCGTGCTTAAAAGCTATATATATCCTTTCTAGTCAGAACCAGTTCAACCCACCCAAAAAAAAAAAAAACACCTCTGAATGTCAGAATGCCTGAACTTAATTATTTATAGATTATCATGAAGTGAACTACCCGTATCAGACATGTGAAATATTTTCTTGCCTCTAGGGTATGTATGAGGATTCCATCCGTTACTACGTTCGGGCGCTTGCTATGAATCCCAAGGCAGATAATGCTTGGCAATATTTGAGAATTTCTTTAAGGTATGGCAGTGAAGGTGAAGTTTTTTCTAATTGTTCTAACGTTCAATGGAATTATACGTCTCTTTACCCTTGTTTTTGCTTTGCAGTTGTGCTTCAAGGAACGACATGTTGGGAGCTTGTGATTCTCGAAATCTTGATGTCCTTCAGAAGGAGTTCCCACTATAATATTTTTTTATTGGTCTCAATATTGGATGAATAATAGGGTCAATGAGGTGATGACGGGATTCTGAAGCCTCCTGTTTGTGCAATCAAAAGCTAATAATGCTTATGGGAGAATGCATGGTGCTTTTGACTCCTCGCATCACTGCATTTGGAGCTCTTGCTGAAGGGTATCCTGATTTCGGGAAGAACCTCCATGGACAGGAAGTAGGGAAATCAAATATGGTTTATTGGAGCTAACTTAAACAAATACTTGTATAACGTTTGAAACCCTGTACCTGGGTGTTGCTCATGATTCTTTAAGCACAGGGATAAATAAAATCATGAAGGAAAATAAATATAATGGAAGTGCATGAGGGGAAAATAAAAAAGAGAGAGGGAAGTCGCCCATGTCATTGCTATTGGTGAAGCAATTTAACCTTTTCAGATTCAGACTTATTTTGAATATTTTGCTTCTTATTTTCTTTTACGCAATACTTCCATTTGTCGGCGTTAGAGGTATGCAAACGCGAAGATAAGGCGCATGCTTAACTATGGTTTTGCATTTAAAATGGTAAAAGAAGCAAAGCAACGGATATTAAAGAAGGAAAGCAAAGGATATTAACAGGAAAAAAAAAAAAAAGATTTTTTTAAATAACAATAATTTAAAGAATGAGGAAATTTGTTGTCCCAAACAATTTTGAAACTTATTTGTAAGAACCAGTTCTTGATACTGGAATTAATAAAGACTTCGTTTCATTTTCACGAGTCATAGTCAGTGTTCGAGTCAGGGGTATGGATTGATGCTATGAAATAAGAGCTAAAATCCGTGCATGAAAATGAATTCTAGAAGATCGTTGACTTGTAAATGGATCTTAAAGATAAATCCTAATATTAAATAATATAATGCTATACTCATTGTTAAAAGATGTATTAAAAAAATGATATTAATTATAAAAAGACTTAAACAGATCATATGATGTGTAAACTTAAAAAATTAATATATAGATTTAAACAGACTTTCAAACAATGGTATATTAAGTTTAATGATAAAAAAAGAAAAACTATCAATTATGATGCAATTAGGGTTTCAACATAATATAATGCAATTAGGGTTTCAACATATCAAGGTAATTATGATGTTCTGGAGGAGGAGTTATTGATTGAATAAATCTCATATATCAATTCAAGAAATAACTGTTACTTGATATTAAACGAGTAGTTTGGTCTTCTATTAGCTGTGTTTAGTGATTAAAAAGAAAAAAAAAAAAAACACTAGCATGTGATCTGACTTCTGAGTTATAATCAATTGGTTTTGTGGGATTTAATTAAATTAATGTGCACAGAATTAATGCTGATTTTTCTGATCAATATAATAAAATACTGTGCTTGGGTATTTTAATTTAATTTCCTACACTTTACTTAAAAACTTAAGTTTTGATTCAAATGAATTTATTTATTTATTTTTTATATGATATAAGAGTTTTAACGATAAAAAAAAAGTCACAAATTGGAATCTACTAATTAATTACCCTTCCCCTTCTCTAATTAAATTACATATAAAGCAAGACTGGTTTCGAAACTACGATGGAGAGGCAATCCCCGGATTTGAGAAAAACAGTAACAGGAAATCGAGTTGCTGTCTTTAATTTATAGTCTGCAATTATGTCAAGACATTAGCAATATATACGGTGGGTTTGGATTCTTATCTACTCTCCATCAAACTCATATATATGGAAATCCTTAGCTTCCACTGAAGGTAGAAGCTTTCATTTGGCTTGCTACACTTTGTAAACTGAATATTAGAAATTTTCTCCGTCAAATTGGTATTGCAGACCAAGTTGCATGGACAGAATCGAGCATAGGTTCCACGCATGAAATGGAACATCGATGGCTCATCTTTGGCCAAACCTGACTCATCAGGTACATTGGACAGGCAGATCAGGCATATTGGAGGAGTTCTCAGGGATCGTGAGGGGTGGTTTCTTTCCATTTTTTTCAGCACTCGTAAGTGTTAAGGAAGCAAATGAGGTGGAAGTGCTTGCAATTAAAAGAGCCCTTGAGATAAGTGTTTCCCACATGCACTTTTGCCAATCAGCTGGTCACCATGATTTTTTAGTCTGATTGCATGAATACAACTGATAGGGTGCTTAAAAATCCAAAGGATAGACACTGGAGATTGCATAATTATTTTACTTAAATTGTATTGCAAACTTTATCAGTAAGCCGAGTTCTACTTAATTACATTCAGTCGAGTGAATAAAAAAGAAAAAGCAAAGTACAAGTAGGGAGGAATAAATTCTTTTAAATACTAATTTCAAGATTTGAACTCAGAATATCATGGGAATAAGTAAATCTTCTTAATTACCAAGACTAACCAGCAAGGTTAATCAGGTACTCAAACTATGATTGAATTGGAGGGTTAATAAGTAGGGGAGCAAAAGGAATTGTTTGTTGCTGCAAATAACACTAACTTAATACATCCATGATTGTAATAATTGCATGTGGGCCGGGGTTGAGGGCATCGATAGTCTTGTATGTATCAAATGACAAACAAGTAAGTAGCGATGGATAGAAATAGAAAAAGCAGAGGCCAGTAGCAGCAGCAGCAGCAGGAGGAGGTAACGTCTGAATCAGATGGACAGATGATATATATATATATATATATATATATATGAATGAAGGATATATAGTTTGTGTGATTTGATTCTGTCTATCATTATTCATGGCTTGCAATGCCATGCGTGCACCAACCCTAGCTAGCCCTAGGCAAGCCCTGAGTAGTAGTCTTAACTTGAACACGCAAACTAAAAACTTTGCTTTTGCTATGCTATGCTTTGTGACCATCTTTTCAGTGTCAGCCATCAACGTGGAACCAGCTGCTAAAAGCTTATTGCGGCATCTTTCTACCTTCTACTCTCTACTAAATTACAACCCTTCCCTCCCGTTCCTTACATCATGACATGCCAATTGCTATGCCTAGGAGGTATATATCTTACATCATAAAAAACAAAACACATTGAAAGCCAAGCATGTATACATAAATCCAATCTATTTTATGGTATATATATAAATGGGGAAGATTCATATATAGTATATATACTACTACTGTTAATTTATGTATCTTTTATGCTATATAGTACAAGCTAGTTGAGAGACAGATCGAGAAGGAGAGAGAGATCCTGATGGCCACTTACTCCTTTCACCACAAAGCCTAAATGATAAACATTATTGTTTCAGAAACCAAAAAAGACATTGATATAATTAATTAACAAGTTGACGATGAGAAACGTACGCATTAGCCCTATGATCATAACGACCAAATAAGAATTAATACTAATACTACGCACGTACTAGACTATGGACAATTAGTACAGTGGTAATCCTTAATATCCCTATCGAGAAATTAATTAGTTAATTAAAAAGACATTAACTACATAGTAGTACAGGACACGAGAGAGATCCATGTATACCTAGGAGGATAGCAGGAGGGTTTTGATCATAAATATGTGGTTGCATGGGGTTAGAGGAGGCAAGAGAAGGTTTATTTTGGGAAGTTCGATGATTTTGTTGTTGAGGGGACAAAGTACAGATATTAGGGTAATTAATGGTGCAGATATGAAAGACAGCAATAGGTATATGCGGGTACTTAGTGCGGAAAACAAGAAGGAAACCCTACCGACCTAGCTCATGCATATGCATCCCCTCTCTATAAAATATAAATATCAAGACAAGGGAATTTTGGGGAGCAATCGTGGTCGCTCCTCTCCTCATTCTTCGTTTGCAGAAAATATTTAGACAAACTGAACAAGTCTCCCCATCTAATATGGATCCATCCATCCATCCATCCTTAATACCACACTGCCTAGCTAGCTACTCCTACTTTTCCTTTCCATAATTAAAGGTAAGAGAGACTAAGATATAATATGTAACTAAGAGAGAGCATCATAAATTAGTTTTAAAAAAACAGTACTCTTAATTAATTACCTTATTTAAATTAAGAAATCAAAAGTGAAGCTAGCTAGCATTAAAAATAGAAAGAAAACCAGCACCCCTAATATTGCACCAATTAATTGGATTGATTAACTACAAAACAAAACACTCTTTAATTAATTAAACTTACTAAGAAGATCGGGAAGATGCTGCAATATGCTTTAAGAATAGTTAATTAAATTGTCAGTGGAAACTAACTGTCGTCTTTCTCAATACAATACTTATGATCATGCCGAATACATAACAATATTTAATTAATTGGTTTAACAATTAACAAAGAAAGAAGAAGGTTACTGCTCCCATCTATATATATATATATAAAAGACAAATAATTTCTGCTACTAGGTTATGAATGTATTGAAATTAATTGTATACGAGGAGACATTAAACAAAGAAAAACTCATGTCAACGAACGTATCCCACTAACCATCGAAAATAGGGAGTAATTAAACATATACATAAATTATAAGCCACGATAAGATCAATTCATTGCTTTAAACTCCCCGAAAAAGAACTCATCCAGCAATACACGTATTTTCAGTAGTGAAGCTAGCTAGGTAGCCAAGGAGCGGGAGCCATAATACTGACCGGCCAGTGGCCGGTGCTTTATGAAGCCAAAGATATCCTTCATGATCAAGCTATCTATGTATCTAGAGACTCATCAAGATGTGATATCTTGCATTGCATACTTGCATGCACGGTACATATAGCTACCATCACATCTCAGCATGCTTTTATATATATATATAATGGAATAATTATGATAATGGAGCTTCGTTGTGGGGTGGGTAACAAAAAGAGAAAACCACATTAGAATTATATATACATATAATAAATCAATCAACAAGGTGCATGCATAATGGCAAGAATAGATGATGAGCTACCATACAGAAAGGACTAATTATTAACATTCATTAATTATATTCCCTTTAATTTATAACTTTGGTGGGATTGAGCGGTTGGGGTCTTAAATCAGTTGGGTAGCTAGCTCTTACATTTAATAATTAATCAGAACAATGACAATTAATTTAGGTAGCTAGCTAGCTAGTGCCAGGAAGAGACAGAGAAGAGGGGATGATTCTGCCAACCTAAGAAGAAAGAATTGTTGAGAATCTGAAGATGATAGCCCTCAGAAGGATAATGGAGCCTTAGTAAGAGCTTGGCCTGTGAAAGTGCAAAGGGACTCAATGGAATGTTGCTAAACCCTGCACTCTTTAGCATCATTTCCCAAGTCTCAAACCTCTGGTGCCTTTCTCTTCTCCCCTCTC